ACAAAACACTTGAGGGTCAGATAAAATTTTAAAAATGTGAGGAAGTAGAGTTAATGATGGAACCAAACGAAATCAAACCCAGTTATTATAGCAATTACTATTCCAGACCAATTACCCTCGATTTATTTGGAGAGAGAGAGAGAGAGAGAAAGAGAGAGAGAGAGAGATGGGGTTTAACGTCCACTAGACACAGACTAGGTCATTTCGGGACTAACCTATGGTTTAATTGGACAGGCAACCTTACTCCTTGTCACGTACAACCGGGGATTCGAAACCACGCCAGTTGACTCAGTGACGACAGGCCTTATGATACAGTGCGCACGTGGTAACCATTCGGCCATCCACCCCCCCCCCCTCGATTTATTCGGAGCCGCTGTGGTTCAGTGAGGAAGACGGTAGCTGGCTTACAAGGGTGGCGCTTGTTCGATCCCGATGCTAACTGAAAGGATCACGGGATTTCCCACCGTGCCTGTGAGGCAGGCCCCTGAGTTTGACAAGTATACTAGCGTCTAGTTGTTCAGATTAGACAAAAAACCAAGGTCCCGTGTAGCCTACGAGGGTTGATTGATAAGTAGTGAGCCTAACACAAAAAGAAACAAGAAATTCAAATCAAATGCATTTATTTTTCAACATAGTCCCCCTTCAATGTAATACACTTCTGCCATCGGTGTTGCAGAGCCTTTATTCTAGTTCTGAGGAAATCTTTGTCTTGGGTGTGTAGAAAATCATCCACAGCGGCAATGCCGTCATCGTCAGACGGGAAATGCCTACCGGAAAGACATTTCTTCAGAGCAGGAAACAGATACAAGTCTGAGGGAGCTAAATCAGGATAGTAGGGTGGATGCTGAAGAAGTTGAAACCCACAGTCATGGATTGCTGACATGGCAACAGCAGATTTGTGCACTGGCGCATTGTCCTGGTGGAAAATCGCACCTTTGGTCAGCTTTCCTCGTCTTTTGGACTTAATTTCTTGACTCAACTGCCTTATAAGTGCTGCATAGTATCTACCGTTAATTGTTTGACCCTTTTGGAGGTAATCCACCATGAGAACACCCTCAGAATCCCAGAATACTGAGGCCATCACCTTTCCTGCCGATGAAACAGTCTTTGCCTTCTTTGGGATCGGCGACGTCACATGTTTCCACTGTTTTGACTGTTCTTTGGTTTCTGGCTGAAAGTTGTGGACCCAAGTTTCATCCATAGTAACAATTTGTTTTAGGAAGCGGTCAGGATCGGTTTCGAATAAGGCTAGATTCTCTTCTGACATGATGTGTCTTGAACGCTTTTGATCAGGCGTCAAAAGCTTTGGCACCCATCGTGCTGAAACCTTTGTCATTTCCAAAGTTTCAGTGATAATAGAATGAACTCTCCCCTGGATAATACCAACTACCCCAGCTATGAATCGTTCAGTAACTCGCCGGTCATTCATTATCAGATCATGGATTTTTTGTACCATTTCAGGTGTTGACACAGTTTTGGTCGACCAGGGCGTGGTTCGTCTTCAGTGCTGTCTCGGCCACGCTTGAATTCAGCTGACCACCTTTTAATTGTGGCATATGAAGGAGCATCATCTCCTAATGTCTCAACCATATCATCATGTATGGCTTTCGGTGTTAGGCCCTTTTTATGCAGATACTTCATCACAGCTCTCGCCTCGATATGGTCCATTTTCTGATAACAACAGACCCTACTTGATTGTTATGACCTGTCACAACCTGTGATGAAAGTTTGTGACAGAGCCCGAGGGACATAACAGTGCATGTGTAAAACGTGGTATCATTGTGTTGCACGGTTTTCAAATCGAGGCTCACACTTATCAATCACCCATCGTAAACGTTGCCGTTGACGTATGCTGTTGATTATGTAAAATTTCGCTCATATCAAACTGCACGGTATATGTCATTCTCCTTTGGCTTGATCGGAAAATTAGGACGTTAATCCCCCATTTTATTTTATCTAATACTAGCAGGATACCCGGCTTTGCTCGGGGGTCATAACTCCGAAACCGGAAGTGGTAGACTAACGCCACCTGGCCTATGTTACTCCCCGGTCCGAGCTACCCCTATACCCCAAATTTCAGACTCGGGGCAGACCTAGTGTAGCCGCCAACCCCGAACAGACAGACAGACAGACAAACGACAGTCACAAATATATATATAGATAGATAATAAAACTTCAGATAAATACGGGGGGTTGGATGGCCGAATGGTTAGCGTGCGTGCAGACATAGTGTAGCCGCCAACCACAGACAGACTTCGCTCGGGGGTCATAACTCCGAAACCGGAAGTGGTAGACTAACGCCACCTGGCCTATGTTACTCCCCGGTCCGAGCTACCCCTATACCCCAAATTTCAGACTCGGGGCAGACCTAGTGTAGCCGCCAACCCCGAACAGACAGACAGACCGATACCCGGCTTCGCTCGGGGGTCATAACTCCGAAACCGGGAATGGTAGACAAACGCCACGTAGCCTATGTTACTCCCCGGTCCGAGCTACCCCTATACCCCAAATTTCAGACTCGGGGCAGACCTAGTGTAGCCGCCAACCCCGAACAGACCGGCTTCGCTCGGGGGTCATAACTCCGAAACCGGAAGTGGTAGACTAACGCCACCTGGCCTATGTTACTCCCCGGTCCGAGCTACCCCTATACCCCAAATTTCAGACTCGGGGCAGACCTAGTGTAGCCGCCAACCCCGAACAGACCGGCTTCGCTCGGGGGTCATAACTCCGAAACCGGAAGTGGTAGACTAACGCCACCTGGCCTATGTTACTCCCCGTTCCGAGCTAACACTATACCCCAAATTTCAGATTCGGGGCAGACCTAGTGTAGCCGCCAACCCCGAACAGACCGACTTCGCTCGGGGGTCATAACTCCGAAACCGGAAGTGGTAGCCTAACGCCACCTGGCCTATGTTACTCCCCGTTCCGAGCTACCTCTATACCCCAAATTTCAGACTCGGGGCAGACCTAGTGTAGCCGACAATCCCGAACAGACCGACTTCGCTAGGGGGTCATAACTCCGAAACCGGAAGTGGTAGACTAACGCCACCTGGCCTATGTTACTCCCCGTTCAGAGCTACCCCTATACCCCAAATTTCAGACTCGGGGCAGACCTAGTGTAGCCACCAACCCCGAACAGACCGGCTTTGCTTGGAGGTCATAACTCCGAAACCAGAAATGGTAGACTAACGCCACCTGGCCTATGTTACTCCCCGGTCCGAGCTACCCCTATACCCCAAATTTCAGACTCGGGGCAGACCTAGTGTAGACGCCAACCCCGAACAGACAGACAGACCTATACCCGGCTTCGCTCGGGGGTCATAACTCCGAAACCGGAAGTGGTAGACAAACGCCACCTAGCCTATGTTACTCCCCGGTCCGAGCTACCCATATACCCCAAATTTCAGACTCGGGGCAGACCTAGTGTAGCCGCCAACCCTGAACAGACCGGCTTCGCTCGGGGGTCATAACTACGAAACCGGAAGTGGTAGACTAACGCCACCTGGCCTATGTTACTCCCCGGTCCGAGCTACCCCTATACCCCAAATTTCAGACAAATACGGGGGGTTGGATGGCCGAATGGTTAGCGTGCGTGCTGTATCATAAGGTCTGCCATTGAGTCAACTGGCGTGGTTTCGATACCCTGGTTGTATGTGACAAGGAGTAGGGTCGCTCCAACCTCGTGGGTTTCCTCCCACTGCTAAAGACCCCTGCGCGCAAGCGAATTATAGAATAAAATTGAACCATGTGTTAGTCTCGAAATGACCTAGCCGAAGTTTGCCGAGTGCTGATGAATAGTCTAGTCTGTGTTAGGGGAGGTAACTACAATATAGATCAAACAAAAATTGGATGCAGACCATTACTTCATTATAGGTGCGAAACTCAAGCGAAAATGAAAAATTGGAGAGTCTTTGCCGATTCTTGATAAACATGACAACAATAACAGCCATTTTATAATTACCCGTCTTAATCAAAATGACTGGAGATGTTTATTGGAATAAAATCCCTCTACATACTATTGATTCCGGCAGCATTATCAATTTTTATTTCCGCATAACTTTTGTTAGGGTGGGGGGGGGGGGTTGGATTATTAAATAGAACAAAATGTTATTTATTTAAACATACATTATGCAAGAGCTACATCTGTCTATTGCAGGTCTTTCTTTAGGCCTGAAATGTTATCTAAATTATTAATTAGACATTAATTGACCTATCCAGACCATAATCAACTCTAGATGGCATCGTTAGCCAGCGATCTTTAGTGGATTATGAGCCGATTTTCTGCATAACTTTCCTTCACGATTAAATGATTAAATGGATAATCAAGACTATGCTGTTTATCGTACTGACTTTAGTAATGATGATCGAGGCTAGGCGGAAATTTCAATCGCTTAGTTCTTGGTTCATAGTGGATCAATTTTAATGAAATTTTCGGCAAATTGCCTTTACATTATCTAGTTTTTAATTATTATAGTGAGAACTGCCAACTCGTTATCTAATCTCCAATAATTTATCTTTAATAGAACCATTTTTAAGTCAACAAGATGCCATTTATTGGTTTTACCGAACTCAGATATTCGATATATGCAAACATTGATATTCGATATAGCCAAAAACTGATATTCGACATATCCAAACACTGATATTCGATATATCCAAACATTGATATTCGATACATCCAAACGCTGATATTCGACACATGGAAACAAAACTTGGAGAAGCTACTTATCTGGCCATATTCTGACATTAGAGTTTCTATAATTCAACATGTATATTTTCATTTTTCATTTAACAATAACTTACATTTCTGCACCAACTGGGTTAATGAAGGCGGGACTAATACATGGTTCAATTTTATTTCAATAATTCGCTTACGCGTATGGATCTTTAGCACTGGGAGGAAACTGGAGGACAGGCGACCCTACTCCTTGTCAAGTACAACCGGGGAATCGAAACCCCGCCAGTTTACAAAGAAGACTTGAAGACGAGGTAAAACAGAATTAAGTAATAAACTATTTATTCAAATTGAGTAGGGCTGTTTGTATAAATTGAGCAGCACAGCATGTATAAATTAAATGAAATGAAATGGAGTTTAACGTCCTACTGTTCTGCTCCTAACCTGGGCTAATGAAGACGGGCATACGCCATACAGTGTGCTCGGACAGCGGCACTACGGCCTACTCTTATATCGAATTCCAACTGCCAAGGGATCTTTTACGTGCACGCCAATGTGTACCCGGGACCTCGTTTTTTTTTTGTCCCATCCGAACGACTAGACAGCTGTCCTTGTCAGGCCCTCCATCCTGCATCACTGACAAGGGGAAACTGCGCCGGAAATTCTGAATGAACTTTCTCGGTTAATGCAGGGATCGAACACACGACCTCCAGACTAGCGAGCAAGCGTCTTACCCACGTGATCCCCAACGGAGACAAACAGCTAACCTAATGTTTAAGGTCTGTTTCCATAGTAATATCCCAGACAAAAGCAAATGACTAATCAAGGTGATGATAACATATCATCATGTAAAATATGGGCCTATATCTAGACTATATACACCTACTGACATTACATGATATAGGCTACTCAGTTGGGAAATATTGGTGTAAAGAAACCATCCAGGGCCCTGTTCCTCGAAATCATAACTAAAGATAAAATCCAAATTTTTGTAGATACTTCAGTTTTGATTGGCTAAGCAGTAAAATCAATCTAATATTATCCAATCAAATTACTAAAATTTGGATTTGATCTTAGTTAAAATTTTGTGAAACAGGCCCAAGGATAGTCTGTATAACAAAACAACACAAACATACAGTTAAACCAGAGTTGCCATGCAAGCTACAGTTATATTACCAAAACACAGTTTAACAAGCGGTTACCATGCAAGCTATACATAACTACATATAGTTATAGCAAGGACAATTGTTTTCAGCGGGAATATCCTATGGTGTTTTACATTGACCGAAATAAAAATCTGTAATGAAATGATTTCAATTATAAAGTTGCAAAACCAGGATAGGGCCATTTTGTTTAGTCCAAGTGACTGGATAAGATTATCTTGAAGATCATATCCTTGTCAAGTATCACAGTAGCATCCAATCAAATTCCCCAATAAAACTTCATCAAGGCCAGGCCATTTTTAGAGTAAAAACAGGGAAAATACCTTCGGAAACATGATAAAAAAATATATGTCAAAAGGTAACATGATCAAAATATATGTAAATGATTTAAAAATAATTTGTTATATGTTATTAACCTAATAGATATTCAAATGAAATGACATGGGGTTTAAAGATGGGTTCCCAGAAAATTATTTATCGGGTGGTTATTTCCAATAAAAGTATGGCAATTTTGGTATATATGGAAAGTAGAGATATCCAATCTTACTAGAAAAATACTGGATTCCCTGAAAACATTCATGGAGCGTATACAGGACAAAAATGTAAGGGTTCCCCTAATCAACAGCCCGACGATTAGGAACTTCTGCACGCGTGATGTCAAAGGTCACAAGCGAGCATTGAGCGCTTCATGTACAAGATGATAAACTTTATGAAGAGTTAGACGTACAATACTTTCTGAGATAAAAATGACGGAAAAAGACGCGGGTAGTGTACAATCCGAGAATTTAATTAGGATTCGATATTTGTAATAAATAGTAAGTGATTAAAGACAACATTGTCTTATGTATGCAATGAATTCTCCTCTGACTCCGAAGACCTGACGTAAACTTGACCTGGTTTGATCGAATTTTAATAGCAGGGCATTCCTTCACAATTATAATGTTTGAGAAGGATTTGAAGCATAATTATAAAAAATTAATTAGTTTGAATATGTTTTTGGTCCATTAAATCACCCAGTTTGTACGCGGGAACCCATCTTTAATGTCCTACTGTTCTACACCTACTGTGCTAATGAGCTAATGAGTCATACAGTGTACTATGAGAGAGAGAGAGAGAGAGAGAGAGAGAGAGAGAGAGAGAGATGGGGTTTAATGTCCACTCGACACAAACTAGGTCATTTTGGAACTAACATATGGTTTGATTTTATTTCTATAATTCGCTTGCACGTAGGGGTCTTTAGCAGTGGGAGGAAACCGGAGGACCCGGAGAAAACCCACGAGGTTGGACAGGCGACCCTACTCCTTGTCACGTACAACCGTGGGTACTATGAGAGAAACGTGGCTAGGACAGTGGCGCTACAGTACTCTTATTTCAAATTCCATCTGCCAACGGTTATTTTACAGGAGCTGTTTTTCGTCCCATCCGAACGATTAGATATTTGCTGTAGTTATATTGTGTTTTTCATATAAATATTATTTCATAAAAGGGGGGGTTGGATGGCTGAATGGTTAGCGTGCGCGCGCTATATCATAAAGTCTGTCATTGATTTCGAATCTCCGGTTGTACGTGACAAGGAGTAGGGTCGCCTGTCCAACCTCGTGGGTTTTCTCCGGGTCCTCCGGTTTCCTCCCACTGCTAAAGACCCCTACGCGCAAGCGAATTATTGAAATAAAATTGAACCATATGTTAGTCCCGAAATGACCTAGTTTGTGTCGAGTGGACGTTAAACCCAATTTCTCTCTCTCTCTTTATTTCATAACATAAAGGGATCTATGACACTTATCAAGTGCTTTCGTATTTAATTTTTGAAGGTATATTTATAAAGTCTGGTCTTTGTTTATCATTATATTTCCAACATTCCTTTATAAGGGCTTGAATGAGTGTCGGCCATGTTGGAGAAATCGGCAGCCGTTCGTCATTCTTCAATTTTTTCACCAACTCTGTCAAGTTATTATCTTTGATTAATTTGGGTTCGTCACCCCGGGAAAATATTTCCCATAACACCACTCCATAACTCCATACATCAGATCGACTGCTGATAATATAACGATCACCTAAAGACTCTGGAGCAGACCTGAAAGATATAAATTAAATTTAAACATCATTTTATAACTTAAAAGATGAAATATAACTACTTCTCAATACTACCCAATACTAACTAACTACCACCCAATACTAACTAACTACTACCCAACTACCACCCAATACTAACTAACTACTACCCAACTACCACCCAATACTAACTAACTACTACCCAATACCACCCAATACTAACCAACTACCACCCAATACTACCCAATACTAACTAACTACTACCCAATACTAACTAACTACCACCCAATACTACCCAATACTAACCACCAATACTACCCAATACTAACTAACTACTACCCAATACTATCCACTACAACCCAATACTAACCACCAAGACTACCCAATACTAACTAACTACTACCCAATACTAACCAACTACCAGCCAATACTACCCAATACCATCAATACTACCCAATCCCATCCAATACCATCAATATTACCCAATACCACCAATACACCCAATACCATCCACTACTACCCAATACCATCCAATACCACCCGATACCATCCAATACTAACCAATACAAGATTAGACAGGCAATCCTACTTATCACTTGACTTAATGATAGACCCTACAATTGACCAACTAAACCCACTCACCCATAAACGGTAAATAATGAAAATAATTGAATATTTACCAATGCATTGGCAAGGCTTTAAAAAGGGATATCATTTTGTAATAATCCTTTTCTGGTTGTAGAATTTTAGCTAAACCAAAATCAGTGATCTTAGCTTGAAGTTCATTGGTTACACAGACATTTCGTGCTGCTAAATCTCGATGTACAATCTTTTTACTTGCAAGATATGACATTCCCTGAAATAATCAGAATTATATTCATTAACACAATAAATACAATATATTAAAGATGGCTTCAAAAGTTCAAATCTTATATAAATTATTATGTCCCTCTTGGTTAGCCTTGTTCCCGATTAGACACGGTTCCTTGTCAGACACCCATGATAAGGGGGAAACCACACCGAACCTGGGACACACTGTTTAGTGAACTAGCGCCTTAAGCACTGAGCCACCGTGGCCCCCAAACTAAAGTGAAAGGTTGATAGATTAGAAGTACCTGTGCTATTTCCAAACATATTCTTACGGAGATGTTATTAAATGAAGCTTGTGGGAGATTCACATTTTTCTTCAACCAATCTTTTAAACTTCCACGTTCCACGAACTCCATCACAAGAATCAACGAAGCTGTAAAACAATCAAAATGTAAGGTTTTGTTAAAATAGGTTGCCAGGTAACGAAACTAACTTATCCAAGTTGTTCTTTAAGTTTTGTCAAGTAAATAAAAAGCTAAAATCCTTATATGATCAAGGGCAATAACTCTATAAGTAGTTAAGGGGTCCATATGGACCCCAGTTATAATTCAAAGTTTTTACGTACAGATATATATGAATTAAAAGGCAGTGGTTTAGTTTTTATTTGCATTCATATTTGACAACTGAAAAAAACTGAATTATTATACAAAAACATTTTAGTGACATGGAAAAGATTTAATAATTCTCACAAAATTGCTACTTTGTGTACTATGTGATAAAGAGGTTAAATGGCAATTCACGCTTGATACAAAAACCATTCAATATTTGGAATTCATCATTTAATTCTTGGTATTTGTAACATGCAGATGTTAAAAGAGAGAATACTCTGGCATACACAATATGGCATCAGACAGCAAACACAATAGCAAAATACCTAATGTGAGTTGTATTTTAGGTGTCCGATTAGACCCCTTGTTCCCAGCAAGCGTTGGGCCTGATTTGCATATAACAGAACTCTGCATGTAGGAAGCAGATGAATACCGAACGCTACGTGTAAAATTGTATCAGAGACAAAGTCACTAAATTTCAGAAAGCAGTGCCCAGTAGTTATTACAAAACACAATAAAATGTGCATGGGGTCCACGGAGACTCCACATGCATCGACAAGGGTTAACAATACATCACAATATTCAAAAATTTAAAGTTAATTTTTCAGCTAAAGCATCAGGCGCGGATCCAGGATTTTTTGCAGTGGGGGGTCTAGGTTGGATAATTGCTCTAGGTTGGATAGGCGCTAAACGTTGTAAGAGGGGGGGGTATGGCGGCCCTCCCCCAGAAAAATTTGGTAAATTAGATTCAATTTGGTGCATTCTGACGTATTTCCGGAAGGTAAATTCCAAAATTACAGGTCTAAAAATCGCCAATAAAATCGCATAAAATGTCCTTAAAATGTTGATGGGGAATGCGCCCTTCACAGGGGAGAAACAAAATATCTTCAGATACCATATTATGGTTGTTCTTAACAAGCTTTATTAGAAGTATCAATTTACTATTAGAGTAACCAGTCCAATTAAGTATAGGAAAGTTGGTCAGGGTTTTCCAGAGCACAAACTTTCACAGACGAAAAGTCTATACACTTGGTTTACTGTTTTTACTTTCAGCGCATAAAAATAAATAATATAGCTTGCTATTGTTGCACAGGCTTAATCATAAATGTAGAGGTTTACAGGGAATTTTCACACAAAATTAAACAGATTTATCTTCCAAAAATTATGTGGGACCTTCACTTTAACTGTGCAATGCAGAGAAAAGTCGGCGTGGCTTTTTTCTGATGAACTGCCCAACGATATTCTCGACATTTAGCTGGAGCTTTCTGTTAACGTTGATGAGCACCAGGGCACTCAGGCGTTCTTATCAACGCTGCCAATAAAATTAAAAAGCAAACACAACAATATTCAACGTCAACAGGCGAACAGCGTTAATAAAACTCTTTAAATTTCAATAAACTTATATTTTCATACAGTACGGTATTAAAAAATTGCCGTCGTCAATAGGCGATTTGCCGTGGGGTCAATTGGTCCTGATGGCAATTTATGCTGTCAACGTTTTTGGCTAATTGCCAGAGCTGTATGTGACTATTTGTTTTTTCCCACAATGGAATGAAAGTCATGACTCAACTCAGTGTATACAAACTCGCAATTTTGGGGTCAGATTCAGGCTTTTAGATTTAAGTTTCTCGGACCCTTCAAATTTTCAAGCCTGAGCAGGGGGGGGGGGTTCAGACCCCCTGGATCCCCCCTCTTCCAAACTGTTTCTGTTTTATCAATGTGTATTTGTATATGTGTATTTAAAGTAGCTGTGCAGCCCCTTGTTGTTTTCCCTGGGTCGTCCGGTTTCCACCCACTGCTAAAGACCCCCTGTGCAAAAGCAAATTATTACAATAAAATTGAACGACATGTTAGTCCCGAAATGACCTAGTTTGTGTGAGTTGACAGTGGTTAATATCTCTCTCTCTCTGTCTCTCTCTCTCTCTTTCTCTCTCCTGACCTTGTGAATCACCCCCTCCCCCCACCACACCCCACCCCACCCAACACCGGCCCTATCCTACATAGAAAAACGACAACTTACGTTTATAACAATGGCCAACAACCTGAACGATATTTGGATGTCGTAATGTTGTTGCCAGATCGACTTCCTCTTTAAACATAGTTCTATGGTTTTGGATTTCTTTAGGTGATTGGGATGAATGTGTTCTCATCTCTTTATACGCCACATCAACAACTGTGCCATCTGGTTTAGTATATTTCGCCTGCCATACGTATCCATAATGTCCCTAAATAAAATAGTTCAAAATAAATTAAATGGGTTTGAATGTCCTCAAGTGAAATCTAAAATTTGTGAGAGAAGTTTTGCACATCGTGCCCCAACGTTATGGAATAAATCATCAATACAGAGAGAGAGAGAAATGGGGTTTAACGTCTACTCGACACAAACTAGGTCATTTCGGGACTAACATATCGTTTAATTTTATTTCAATAATTCGCTTGCACGTAGGGGTCTTTAACAGTGGGAGGAAACCGGAGGACCCAGAGAAAAACCCACGAGGTTGGACAGGCGATCCTACTACTTGTCACGTATAACCGGGGATTCGAAACTACGCCAGTTGACTCAATGACAGGCCTTGTGATACAGTGCTCACGTGCTAACCATTCGGCCATCCAACCCCCCCTCTCATCAATATAGACAATAAAGAAATCTGTGAAGACTGAACTTTTTATATCTGTTTACCATTAATGTTAATAACTATTTTGTTTAGTTAGCAGGACGCTGGCTCGTTAGTCTGGAGGTCTCCGGTTTACTCCAGGTATTGGCCAAGCCAGTGGTCCTAATTTCCTGTAACAAAGGGGTTGACAAAGACATCTTACCCAGGCAGCTCCATGTGATCCTTAATGTCACCAATTCAAATTATCATGGGATGTCCAATAAAAACTACTTGATGCAGTCCCTCTATCAGGCAACACAGACAGGGGTGGAAGCACGCTAGAAAATCCTGACAAAATGTCTCAACACTGATGGAAAAAGACAGAGAACTGGGGTTTAACATCCCCGCGACACAAAATCCTCATTTCGGGATTAACACATGTTTCAATAATTCGCTTGCACTTAGGGTTCTTTAGCAGTGGGAGGAAACCTGAGGACGTGGAGAAAACCCACGAGGTTGGACAGGCGACCCTAGTCCTTGTCACGTACAACCGGGGAACCACGCCAGTTGACTCAATGACAGACCTTATGATACAGCGTGCATGTGATAATCATTCGGCCATCGAACCCCCCCACATTGATGGAAATCAGGACCTCCTGTTTAGTGAGCAAGCACCTGGATCACTGAGTCACCATGGGTCTCCGAATATACAAAGTGTTAAACTTACTTCTCCTAGTTTTTTAATTAATTTTATATTATTCTTATCAATCAGCGCCGTTTTGCCGCCATCTTGCCATGTTGGATTATTGTCTGGTTTTAAAGGTTTTGGTAGCAATTTTTTAAAGTCAACATCTAATTCCTGCTCTAAATCCTTTTCTTCCATATCATCAAATTTTAAACTAACTGAAATTTACAAACATATTTTTTTCAAAACCAACCCAGATAAAACCTTGGATCCATGGTAGCTCAGGTGGTTTTGGGTTTGCTCTCGCTATTGACCGAAAAAAAAAACTCCTCATGTGCAGGACGGAGGACCTGACAAGGACGGTGTTTAGTCGCTTGGATTGGACGAAAAAACTGAGGTCCTGTGAACATATGTGACAACTGGAATTTGTAACAAGAGTAGGCCCTATTGCCATTAAAATAAACACAACAGTTCTATGGATAACAATTACTATATTTCTATTAAAGCTACGTTTCAACAATGATTCTCTTGTCACACAGACGTTCGTTCGTTCGTTCTTTCTTGGTGTTTAACGTCTGCTTCCACATAAGTGATATCGCAGACAAGACATAGGAGAGCCGAAGCTGATTCCTGTTTTTTAGAATATGATTTTGCAATCTTTCCATTTGGCCTTAGGCCATGGATTTGGTTTAGTGGGAAGTTCTTCCCTTTATTTAATACAAAACATATCGTTTGGTAGATGATCTCGTCTGCTTCTGGATTGGTAGATGTCATCGTTTGGGGTTAGTGTTTAGGTGCCAGGCCCGTCTTATCGTGGCCTCCCCTTACTCCACTATCCCACTCTCTGGGTTTGGTATCCGTTTTATTTGCGGAATAATGTTTAGGTGCCAAGTTCGTCTGAGCGTAACTCCCCCTTACTCCACTAGGTGCCAGGCCCGTCTTATCGTGACCATCCCTTACTCCACTATCCCACTCTGTAGGTTTGGTGTCTGTTTTTGGTGGAATAGTGTTTAGATGCCGAGTCCGTCTGATCGTGACTCCCCCTTACTCCACTATCCTGTCAGTTTGGTATAAATCCCCTATGTAGTTTAGTGTTTAGATGCCGGGCCCGTCTAACCGTGACCCCCTCTTACTTCACTATTTTACTTAGTCCAACTGTGTCCATTAGGGCGTGGATTTGTTCGAAGATTTGCAGTTTCAGATCTGGTCTCGGGAAGAGTAGGTCTTGAGTCCGAGTTGTCATTTTGGATTGAAATCAGACTGCTCAGAGAGTCGCTTGGAATGACAAACTTACTAGTCTTTTGATGGGAAATCCATGATATAGCGTCACGAATGGCCACAAGCTCTGCAGTGTACACCGAACAGTTATTGGGCAGTTTCTTGTGTGCTGCATATTAAATTTAACAATAACTTGATTTGTGATACATTGAACTAAATTGCTTGAAATAAGTAATACTCCGTGTGGGGAACATGGTACTATGTATATGAGAGTAACGTCTATGTTAATTTCCTGGTTTTGGTCTATTTGTGATTAATTCATCATAAACTCTGGGGATATGTTTCACTGAATGTTTGGATTGTACATAGTATATATATTTCATTCCTTCTGTCTGTATCAGTATTTTGATTGATAACGACAAGAGAATCATTGTTGAAACGTAGCTTTAAAAGAAATGAAGTAATTGTTATCCATAGAACTGTTGTGTTTATTTTAATGTGTTCAATTACTAAATGCTATTCAAACAGTATATCAGACACCTATTGCCATTGTCCGGGCAAGATTTGAATGCCCATCTTTAATTCCTGAGTAGCTACATCGCTGCAGAAAGAAGAACCTTAAACATCATTTCATTTGAAAAACTAAAGATGTTACCTCATTCAGGTCATACAAGGATGTCACCAGTTAGCGTACGAATGGAAAATTTTGAAGACCTTTAATCGGATAAAGCTTGATGGAACATACATTTAATAAGAGGGGGAAATGGGATTCACTTGAGAGAGAGAGAGAGAGAGAGAGAGAGAGAGGGGGGAGGGAGAAATGGGGTTTAACGTCCACTCGACACAAAGTAGGTCATTTCGGGACTAACATATGGTTTTAATTATATTTCAATAATTTGCTTGCGCGTAGGGGTCTTTAGCAGTGGGAGGAAACCGGAGGGCCTGGAGAAACCCCACGAGGTTGGACAGGCGACCCTACTCCTTGTCACGTACAACCGGGGATTCGATTCACTTGACAGAAACCAGGTCATTTCGACACCAACCAACCTAGGTTATTTCAATAATTTGCTAAGCGTCACAGTCTTTAGAAGTCGAAGGAAACCGGAGGACCCGGAGAAAACCTTCGACCATAAGCATGTACATTAGACCTCTAGTCCATTGACATGCATGTAAAGATCCCTTGGCAGTTGGAATACGATGTAAGAGTAGGCCATAGTATCGCTCTTCACGTGTCCAGCCAAAATTTCCATCATGTATACCAATCTTCGTTAGCCCTGTCAGAGCAGAATAATAGTACATTAAAGCACATTTTATTTCATAGCACACTGTATGGTGTATGCCTATAATCGTTAGCCCAGTCAGAGTAGAACAATAGTACATTAAAACCCAATTTATTCATTAACATACATACTTATATGAAGCTGTTTTGAAATTTCACTGATGTTTGGTCGATCTTGTGGGACAACGTTCCACATTTTAATCATCAGTTCCCAGATCATATCACAAGCCTCGTTTACATTAGACGTGTAGCTAGTGGTAATTTTTATAAAGTCTGGTCGGTCTAACTTAGGTCCTCGGAGAAAAAGAGCTTTTAACTAGAAAAAAAATAAAAAATTATGTTGAAAAGTCAATCTTTAATTTAAGGTAGCTAAATCTCTGATTAAGTCCCAACTAAGGCATATTCCTGAAGCAATGGCCCGAGAAATCCGTCTCTGGCCATTGCTGGATTGACTTCTGATACTTGAGGTTTTGACGGAGTTTGTCTATTATTCCCGTTCATTCAAAGCTATTCCAAGTACAGCAACATGACAGCCCTTCGTTTAAATCTGGGGGTCTTCCCTAAAACTTTGGACAGTGATTTAAGGTATTAAAAACGTGGAAAGTATTGTTCGTCTCCAAACAGTATTGTTTACATTGTATCCATTTTGATAGCCTCGTTTGTCACGCAATTAGTCTTTCTGCAATATTCTGCTATGCACTGGTTAATTGGGCGTAATAAAATCATGAGTCATGACGTAACATTAGGTAAACATATTTGGTTCAATTTAGAGCACTGTTTAAAGCGTAATAATATTGTAACGCAGTTAGCTATTGGGTGTTAATTGAACTATTGACCAGTCATAATTTAGAACAGAAATTTGCTTCCATTACAGCAGTGTTAAGTGGGATTAGCTTTAATCAAACGAAACACTGCGAGGAGTATGCCAATAAGGCCACCATTCAGGATGATGTTCTAAAATAAATAGATGACATTTAAATCTGAGCAAACAAAGGGGGAACTGACTGGCCTTCTCCTTTAAATCTGAGCAAAAAAAAGAAAAGAAAAAAATTTTTTTTTTGAAAACTTCCAGGTTTGGAAATTGAATAGTATAGAAACACAAAATCTGGGCAATTTCTAATTTTTAGATAAACACCTGACTGTTTCGAATTTCCTAGAATAAAAGTTTTCAGGTGTAGAATTTTTTGCCACTGCTAAGACAGTATAGTTCCCAGGTAATATCTATTCACAGTGAGTCGCCCCAGGAAATTTAGAGGACTGTTATACACATTCGATGCCACTTTTCAACCAATCAGAATCCAAGAAATGTCCATTTTGGGCTAAAATATTACATAACAAATGAGAGAAAAAGAGCAATGGGGTTTAAAGTCCACTCGACACAAACTAGGTCATTTTGGGACTAACATATATGGTGCAATTCTATTTCAAAAATACGCTTGCACGTAGGGGTCTTTAGCAGCGGGAGGAAAACCAGAGGACCCGGAGAAAACCCACGAGGTTGAACAGGAGACCCTACTCCTTGTGACGTACAACCAGGAAATTAAAACCACGCCAACTGACTCAATGACAGATCTTATGATACAGGTGCATGCACTAACCATTCAGCCATTCACCCACACGCCCCATTTCTCTCTCCAAATAAAATATGAACAATGTGTCCTCACCTGATCAATATTATGAATACCGAGAACAGTGAGTGGATTTTCACCAAATGATGCCGCTTCCCATATTAACGTTGATAAACTGTAAACCTCCGACTCAATCGTAGCTTTCTTTAAATCATCAAACAATTCAACAGCAATCCATGGAATTCTTGAAGAAAAACAAACAGAAAAATAGTTTTAAATTAGCTATCTAGAGAGAGAGAGAGAGAGAGAGAGAGAGAGAGAGAGAGAGAGAGATGGGGTTTTACCTCCACTCAACATGAACTACTTGGCATCGTATTCTACGCAAAATTTTACTCTAGAAAAGTTGGGTCTGGTTTTGTGTCCATTTGACGGACAACCCTCCGCACTGAACCCCCGGTCTACAAGGTTTCCATGAAATGTTAACGGATCGATCTCTATTTTTCGTGCCATCGGAACGACTAATCAGATTTTTCTTGTCAGCCTCACATGCGTTACCTCTAACAAGTGTGATTCAGGCTCGATGACAGATCCTATGAGTTAAAGTAAACATGTTAGATTATTAAGCCACATAACCCAATGTCCCAGATCAAGCATATTCCTTGCAATGTTTCGTTTAATTATACCTAATCCCACTTAACACTGCTGTATAGGAAGCAAATTTCTGTTCCAAATTATGACTGGTCAATAGTTCGATTAACAACCAATAGCTAACTGTGTAACAATATCATTATGCTTTAAACAGAGCTCCAAATTGGACCAAATATGTTTACATAACGTTACGTCGTGACTCATGATTTTATTGTGCCCAATTAACCTGTCCATAGCAGAATATTGCAGAAAAAGTAATTGCGTGACAAACGATGCTATCAAAACGAATACAATGTAAACAATACTGTTTGGAGACGAACAATACTGTCACCGGTACCGTTCTTAATACCTTTAATCACTGTCCAAAGTTTTAGGGAAGACCCCAGATTAAACGAAGAGCTGTCATGTTGCTGTACTTGGGATAGATTTGATTGAATGGGAAGAATAGACACACTCCCTCAAAAGCTCAAGTATCAGAAGCCAATCCAGCAATGGCCAGAGAGGAATTTCTCGGGCCATTGCTTCAGGAATATGCAGATCAAAAAGAGCGTATACTTATGATTACCTTTTGAAGTTGATCGTTTCTTGTAGACCTTGTTTATTATAAAATCCTATTAAACCTGGATCACCTATTCTAACTTTAATACATGTGCTAGTTATTCCATGAACTAGAATATTCTCACATTTCAAATTCCCATGTATCATTTTCTTTTCATTCTAAAAAAACCCCACATGTAATAAGAGTAAATACACAAAAAAACAGGACTTAAATCAAACAACCTTCAGTGTTTCCATGTTGGATCAATTTGTAGAATATGAATGGATTGATTAATGGGCTATTAATAGCACATCATCTGTGTCGGGTCTTTTCTGTACTGACTGGGCAATGTACATTGAAGGACATTTTGCCTAGGCAGTGGCTTTCTGTTTATTATTCATTGAATACCAACCGTCAAGGGTTCTTTTGAGTGCACAGCAATGGTAACACAGAATCTCAGTCTTTAATTCCATCAGATGTCTGACAAGGGAGAGGGGTTTTTACATAGGCTAAGTCTGTTCCCCAATCCCATTCAGACATCCAGAATAAAAATATAGTTTTAAGAAAAAAGACAGCCGTCTAGTTATTTGGATGGGATGAAAAACCGAGGTCCTATGTACACATTGGAGTTGGAATTTGATACAAGAGTAGGCCGTAGCGCTGCTGTCTGGGAAAAATTTCTCTCATAGCACATTGTATGGCGTATGCCCGTCTTCATTAGCCCAGTATAGGAGCAGAACAGTAGGATGTCATGGCTCTATGACTCTTAAAATATTGTGCGTAGGGGTCTTTAGCAGTGGGAGGAAACTGGAGGACCCGGAGAAAGCCCATGAGAAAATGGATTCCTTGTCACGTACAACCGGGGATTCGAAACCACACCACTTGACTCATGACAAATTCAGAAGAAAAAAAGAACAAACAAAAAACCCCAAATATACAAAACTGTAATCTAATTTTTATAAAAAAAAGTACACCTACCAAATACTGCATTCCAGACACTATCTTTAAAACTGCCTGTACAATCTGACACAGATTTATGTGCTCTTGGAATCCATTTTCTTTTATTCTGACAAGAAATTGGCAAAGATCCCCATAGTAAGGATATTCCACAATCAATCGTAAGGGTAGATTAATCGTGGAGCCGTAAAAACGAACGAACGCTACATGGTCAAATTCTGCAAGTTGACTGGCCAAAAATTGTAAGTCCTGCAAGAAAAGTCATAAAATAGCTGATAAAATTCATTATTTTCAGTGAATCGTTTTCTAAGATATACAGTATTGTCAGATGGTTTCAGACTGTAAATATTGACTCCCATGTTTCCGGTATTGTTAGATGTTTTCAGGCTGTTGAGCGGGGAAGGGGGGGGATATTCATCTTTAATCGTACTGAAACATGTATATTCCTGGACAGTCTAAAAGCATCTCACAATACCACAGTGATGTGAATAGCTCTCCATAATTAACGACAGTCTGAAACCATTTCAAATTGTCAGAGTCTAGTTGTTGGGGCCTGGGGCCACCACAACTATTGACTCGAGCTACCCATCCCTATACACTAAATTAGCTGCCAACTCTGAACAGACAGATATACAGATGAAAGACAGTCACAAATATTAGTATAGAATACATTATGCAAGAGGTAAATCTGCCTATTGCAGGTCTTTCTTTTAGCCTTAAATGTTATATAAATTATTAATTTGACATTTATTAACTTATCCAGGCCATAATCAACTCTCTAGATCATTGGGTTGTCGTGATTTTTAACGGATTGAAAAATAATCGATATTGAATAATTTAACTTAAAAATGGACAATCAAGAGGTTGGTCGAGAAAGTCCTCATGATTTTCCGGCATGGTTTCCCCTTGTCAGTATTGCTGAATGGAGGGCATGGTTTCACCTTGTCAGTATTGCAGAATGAAGGGCATGGTTTCCCCATGTCAGTGTTGCTGAATGGAGTGCATGGTTTCCCCTTGTCAGTATTGCAGAATGGAGTGCATGGTTTCCCCTTGTCAGTATTGCTGAATGGAGGGCATGGTTTCCCCTTGTCAGTATTGCAGAATGGTTTCTCCTTGTCAGTATTGCAGGATGGAGGGCATGGTTTCCCCTTGTCAGTATTGCTGAATGGAGGGCATGGTTTCCCCTTGTCAGTATTGCTGAATGGAGGGCATGGTTTCCCCTTGTCAGTATTGCTGAATGGAGGGCATGGTTTCAACTTGTCAGTATTGCAGGATGGAGGGCATGGCAAGGAACAGTATGTGGTTGTTCGGATGAGTTTCTGCATACAGTAGGAATTTGAAGCAAGAGTAATTATATATTTTAAAAAAAACCAATCAACTTACATCAGTACTTGGTTTAATCTTACTAATAATTTGAGGTTTTAGTTGAATCATGATTAATTTTTCTGCTTTCTGGGAACGTAACTCTACCTCACTAAATATGCTGTACATAGTTTCTCCTGAAACACAATAATCAAGAGGATATTTACTGGTCTGACTTCTAAATAAATTGAAACCTACTTGAAACCAGGTTCATCCTGGCAAGCAGGGCTCACGCTGTCAGTCGCCAAAGTCGCAATTTGAGATAAAAAAAAATGAAAATGGCGATTAGAATTTGATGTTGACGATAATATTGGTGATAACATTTTGGAGTACTGGTGAATATTTTTGAGAACTGGCGGCTCAAAAAATCTTAGAATTCTAATCGTATTTATCCTAGATTAACCATTACCTTGAGTGTCAATCATGTGGCGACATCGTATAAATTAATCAACTGGCTGATAATCCGGATTGTGTCAATGAGTAATACTAATCAGTTGTCTTGAATTAATGATTAGTTGATTGATTATTGCCAATGATCCATATAAAGCCTATCTCAGATCATTATTTACTACTAATAATTAGGAGGCCAAGGTCAATAATATAACTACGATGTAGAAAGTTTCAAGGTCATATTCTTAACTTACTGTAGAGTATTGGTTCTCTCACAAAATCCTTCTCGCGAATTAACTGTGGTCCAGTGGCTGTTTTTTCCCGAACTTCATCATGGTAGTAATCAATCTCGTTGGTGAACAGTCGTTTTATCCAGACGCAACTGTCCTTCTCTATAACATGAACTAGAAAATAAAAATAAAAACAAGATATCATAGAAAAAATACACGTAACTGTGGAACGATATCATCACATGTAACTGTAGCTATGGGACCATACCATCACATGTAACTGTAGCTATGGGACCATACCATCACATGTAAATGTAACTGTGGGACCATATCATCACATGTAACTGTAGCTGTGGGACCATATCATCACATGTAACTGTGGCTGTGGGGCCATGTCATCACATGTAACTGTAGCTGTGGGACCATACCATCACATGTAACTGTGGGAACATATCATCACATGTAACTGTGGAACCATATCATCACATGTAACTGTAGCTATGGGACCATATCATCACATGTAACTGTAGCTATGGGACCATATCATCACATGTAACTGTGGCTGTGGGACCATATCATCACATGTAACTGTAGCTGTGGGACCATATCATCACATGTAACTGTGGGAACATATCATTACATGTAACTGTAGCTGTGGGACCATACCATCACATGTAAATGTAACTGTGGGACCATACCATCACATGTAAATGTAACTGTGGGACCATATCATCACATGTAACTGTAGCTATGGGACCATATCATCACATGTAACTGTAGCTATGGGACCATATCATCACATGTAACTGTAGAACCATATCATCACATGTAACTGTAGCTGTGGAACCATATCATCACATGTAACTGTAGCTATGGGACCATATCATCACATGTAACTGTAGCTATGGGACCATATCATCACATGTAACTGTAGCTGTGGGACCATATCATCACATGTAACTGTGTTAACATATCATTACATGTAACTGTAGCTGTGGGACCATACCATCACATGTAAATGTAACTGTGGGACCATACCATCACATGTAAATGTAACTGTGTGACCATATCATCACATGTAACTGTAGCTATGGGACCATATCATCACATGTAACTGTAGCTATGGGACCATATCATCACATGTAACTGTAGAACCATATCATCACATGTAACTGTAGCTATGGGACCATATCATCACATGTAACTGTAGCTATGGGATCATATCATCACATGTAACTGTAGCTATGGGACCATATCATCACATGTAACTGTAGGTATGGGACCATATCATCACATGTAACTGTGGCTGTGGGACCATATCATCACATGTAACTGTAGCTGTGGGACCATATCATCACATGTAACTGTAGCTGTGGCTGTGGGGCCATGTCATCACATGTAACTGTAGCTGTGGCTGTGGGGCCATGTCATCACATGTAACTGTAGCTGTGAGACCATACCATCACATGTAACTGTGGGAACATATCATCACATGTAATTGTGGGAACATATCATCACATGTAACTGTAGCTATGGGACCATATCATCACATGTAACTGTAGCTATGGGACCATATCATCACATGTAACTGTGGCTGTGGGACCATATCATCACATGTAACTGTAGCTGTGGGACCATATCATCACATGTAACTGTGGGAACATATCATCACATGTAACTGTAGCTGTGGGACCATACCATCACATGTAAATGTAACTGTTGGACCATACCATCACATGTAAATTTAACTGTGGGACCATATCATCACATGTAACTGTAGCTGTGGGACCATATCATCACATGTAACTGTAGGTATGGGACCATATCATCACATGTAACTGTAGCTGTGGGGCCATGTCATCACATGTAACTGTAGGTATGGGACCATATCATCACATGTAACTGTAGCTGTGGGGCCATGTCATCACATGTAACTGTAGCTGTGGGACTATATCATCACATGTAACTGTGGAACTATATCATCACACGTAACTGCAGCTGTGAGACCATATCATCACATGTAAATGTAGCTGTGGGACCATATCATCACATGTAACCGTGGGACCATATCATCACATATAACTGTAGCTGTGGGACCATACCATCACATGTAAATGTAGCTGTTTGACCATATCATCACATGTAACTGTGGGAACATATCACCACATGTAACTGCCGCTGTTGGACTATATCATCACATTTAACTGTAACTGTGGAACTATATCATCAAATGTAACTGCAGCTGTGAGACCATATCATCACATGTAACTGTGGCTGTGGGACCATATCATCACATGTAGCTGTGGGACCATATCATCACATGTAACTGTGGGACCATATCATCACATATAACTGTAGCTGTGGGACCATACCATCACATGTAAATGTAGCTGTTTGACCATATCATCACATGTAACTGTGGGAACATATCATCACATGTAACTGCCGCTGTGGGACTATATCATCACATTTAACTGTAACTGTGGAACTATATCATCACACGTAACTGCAGCTGTGAGACCATATCATCACATGTAACTGTGGCTGTGGGACCATATCAGTTTTGAATGAAATGAAATGGGGTTTAATGTCCTACTGTTCTGCTCCAACTGTTCAATTTTGGACTGCAGTATAACCATAGGGATATGGATGCAGAGAAACTGTGGGCAACAAAGATTATAATAAAAATATGTTTTGGTTCGGAAATAGAGAGGACTCATGAGGCACCAAACACCATTTATTTTGTAGAGGAAACCTTATTAATATTATTACACATTCTACCACATAAATATACTCACATGTGCTTTATAAACATGTGCTTGATAAATATACTCACATGTGCTTTATAAATACATGTATATTATAGATCAAGACAATATTATATTTACATAATAAAAACAGATAACAGCATAAAAAAAAATATAAATAAAAATTAGATAAAATTACATGTAATTAGAAATTAAACATACATTATGCAAGAGCTAAATTTGCCTAATGCCGGTTTTTCTTTAGGCCTGAAATGTTTTCTAAATTATTAATTGGATATTAATTAACTTAATCAGGAGATAATCAACACTCGATGGCATCGGATTTCTCCAATATTAAATAGATTAGAACAGTTCAGCCATTTTCGATTTAAGCTAAAAATTGGAGGAGCTATACTTAGCTTCGAACAACCAGTACGGTGGTTGAAATTATTGCACACATCTTGTCAAACCTTAAAAGGCTAATATCTTCGCTCGCAATAGAGTAATTTGAATGAAATTTTCAATTTTCTAATTTTACATTATCTATTGTCGAACTATCATACCAAGAATGGGTAGCTCTTTATCTAAATCTTACTTTATGTATCTTTAAAATAGCTCTGAATAATCTAGTAAACAGATCACTGGAAAAAATCCTTTTTAAATAAATGTCTTTAGTTTTAAAGGACAATATTGGTGCCAGTCATTATCACATATGTGATAGAAATGGTTAAACACGTTCCAAATATCATTTTTTCATAGAGATCATTGCTACGATAGATGAGTAATCAATGTTTCAACAATAGGAAGTGACGAACGCAAAAGGAAAACATGAGTTATCCCTCTATAAAACTGGCTGAAGTGACGGTTGATAACAGATACATGGGCGAATTTCTGCTCACTAATAATTACGGAACTAACATGTGGTTTAATTTTATTTCAATAATTCGCTTGTGTGTAGGGGTCTTTAGCAGTGGGAGGAAACCAGAGGACCCAGAGAAAACCCACAAGGTTGGACAGGAGACCCTACTCTTGTCACGTACAACCAGGGATTCGAAACCACACCAGTTGACTCAATGGCAGACTTATGATACAGAACGCACGTGCTAACTGTTTGGCCATCCACCCCTCACCCCACCCCACCCCACCCATGCAACATCAAACATCATATTATGTTTTGTTAATTAGAGGCACCATGGAACAGCCAACATCAAATGTTTTGTAAGCTAGAGGCACCATGGAACAGTCAACATCATATGTTTTGTAAAATAGAGGCACCATGGAACAGTCAACATCATATGTTTTGTAAAATAGAGGCACCATGGAACAGTCAACATCAAATGTTTTGTGATTATGCGCTTAGAAACACTTCACGTGTAATGAAGCGCTATATAAATCGAACAATAATATAGAGGCACCATGGAACAGCCAACATCAAATGTTTTGTAAATAGAGGCACCATGGAACAGCCAACATCAAATGTTTTGTTAGATAGAGGCACCGCGGAACAGCCAGCATCATATGTTTTGTGATGTAGAGGGACCACGAAACAGCCAACATCAAATGTTTTGTAATATAGAGGCACCATGGAACAGTCAACATCATATGTTTTGTAAAATAGACACACCATGGAACAGCCAACATCAAATGTTTTGTAAGTTAGAGGCACCATGGAACAGTCAACATCAAATGTTTTGTGATATAGAGGCACCGTGGAACAGTCAACATCAAATGTTTTGTGATATAGAGGCACCGTGGAACAGCCAACATCATATGTTTTGTGATATAGAGGGACCACAAAACGGCCAACATCAAATGTTTTGTGAGATAGAGGCACCACGAAACAGTCAACATCATATGTTTTGACAAATAGAGGCACCATGGAACAGTCAACATCAAATGTTTTGTAAGATAGAGGCACCGTGGAACAGCCAACATCATATGTTTTGTGATATAGAGGGACCACGAAACGACCAACATCAAATGATTTGTGAGATAGAGGCACCGTGGAACAGCCAACATCATATGTTTTGTTCGACCCGCCTGTAACCATGTAACTATAGTGACACTTACCATCTGAGGGCTTTAGTTGTCTATTGAACCTCTCTTTACAGAAATTCAAAAATTCTAATTCAGAGTTAAAAATCTTTTCTCCATCTTTGGTGGGTAGTTTGTAAAGATAACCAGTATCATTATCATTGACACGCGTAAATCTCCAGGAGGTCACCTCCTTGCTAGGGTTACACACCATCAGTTCGTACATGTCGAATTCTTGTGTTGATTGTCTGATTAGAAAAAGTCGTTCCACTTGGATTTTGTTTGAGATACATTCCTCTACAGTTGACTTGAGAAGGTTAGCAGCATCATTCGTTCTTTAAAAGAGAGAAAAAATAAAGAGATTATTTATGCATGTAGGGGGGTTGGATGGCTGAATGGTTAGCTTGTGCACGCTGTATCATAAATCTGTCATTGAGTCGACTGAAATAAAATTAAACCATATGTTAGTCCCGAAATGACCTAGTTTGTGTCGAGTGGACGTTAAATCCCATTTCTCTCTCTCTCTATTTATGCATGTAGATATAATACTGCTGAAACACTAGAACAATTCATGAAGGACTGTAATTCACTAGAGCAGGTAGGCAGTGGAGAGAAAGAAATAGGGGACAGGGTTTAACATTCACTCGACACAAACTACATCTATATCATTATGGGACTATAACATATGGTTCAATTTAGATTAAATAGTTGGCTTGTGTGGAGGGTTCTTTAGCAGTGAGGTGAAACTGGAGGACCTGGGGAAAACCAAAGAGGTTCTCTCATACATGTAGCACACTATGGCGTATGTCCGTCTTCATTAACCCAGTAGGAGCAGACAAGTAGGATGTTAAACACCATTTTATTTCATTTACTCACTCATTTATGATCTCAGAAATGACAGATTTATGCAGACAACCATGTTTGAAACCACATCCACATACATGGACATTTTGCCAGGAGAGCAATTCAATTCCAACTTGTCAAAAGTTCTTTTACATGTACACCAAGGTGTACACAGGACCTCCGTTTTGTTGTTCCTTCTGAGTGAGTAAACATTGTGCCTTGCCAGCCGTGCCATGTATACATATATCAACAAAGAAGTTGTAATGTAGAAAAATAAAAACTTACAACATGGGTCCGAATGAATGTAGATCTTTAGGTAACGTTAAATCTATAAAACTGTCTTCCGTGAGATTATCATGATAATCAACCGATAGTTTACACAGACCGTCTAACATAGATATAAACGATATACCCTCTCTCCCATCAAATATAAAGATCTGCAAAATAAAGAGACCAGTCATTTCGGGACTAACACATGATAGAAAGGGTTGAAATGTAAAGATCTGGTTTAATGAACACACAACACAAACTAGTTCATGTTGGGACTAACATATGGTTTAATTTTATAGTGGTCTTTAGCAGTGGGAGGAAAACAGAGAAAACCCATGAGGTTGGACAGGTGACCTTACTCATGTACAAGAGCAGGGAATCAAAACCATGCCATTTGACTCAATGAAAGACCTTATGATACAATATGCACATGTTATCCATTGAGTTATCCAGCCCCCCTATGGCGCCAAGAAAAGAAGCTGGAAGTCTGTAAAGTAAGGAATTACAATAATCTAATCTAGATGTTATTAGTGAGTTAACTAGCTCTGAATATTATTATATCAGCTCTGATAAAACGCACTCTGAAATATCAGCTATGATAAAACACACTCTGAATATTATTACATCAGCTCTGATAAAACAGAAAAAGAGAAATGAGGATTAACATCTAGTGTCATCCTCACCACACAAACTATTTCATTTCGGGACTAACATACGGTTCAATTTGGGTGTAGGGGTCTGTAGTAGGTGGAAGGAATCCAGACGTCAAGAAAACCAACAACGTTGGACAGGCGACAAAACTCCTTGACATGTACTAGTGTGGGCAAGAAACCATGCCACTTGACTCAATGATAGACCTTCTGATCTAAAGTGCCTACTTTAGACAATTCGACAACCCACCCTCCTGGATCTGTAACAAGTATAAACAATATTATACAGCACATGTGAGCTCAACTTCATAACGTTCATGTGAGCTCAACTCCATAACTTTCTTGTGAGCTCAACTTCATAACTTTTATGCAAAATGCGGATATCGGCTGATCTACACATATACTTCTACAGGTGTACATGTATTCAAATGAAAATAGAAGGCTAAATATTATTATTTCAGCTGTAATAAAACACACTCTGAATATTATTATTTCAGCTGTAATAAAACACTCTGAATATCATTATTTCAGCTGTAATAAAACACACTCTGAATATTATTATTTCAGCTGTAATAATGATATTCAAAGTGTTTTATTACAGCTGAAATAATAATATTCAGAGTGTGTTTTATTACAGCTGAAATATTTATATTCAGAGTGTTTTATTACACACTCTGAATATTAGTAGGATGTAAAATGAAAGTAGAGAAGAGTATTTATTTGGTTACTTACTCTTGGCTTACTGTTTTTCAATATGAGAGTTATCCTCATTCTATCATCTCTAGTAAAACTAATAACATCTACTGTATCCAGTTTGATTCCTGTATATTCACAAGAATTATCCTACAATATAAACAAATAAACACTAATAAAACTTGTCTACTATAGTCAGATGCGTGTGTTCATGTGGGGTCTATACAGGAGAGATCAAGGATAGAGCCTATACATTTAAAAGAGCAAATTTCCTTCAGAAATGGCCTCGGATGCATGGATATTGAATTCAAAGTTTTCAGGGGGGGGGGGGGCGGAAACTCCCTCCAGGCTCCGTGGTCAGTCATACAGGTCATATTTCTGCACGCACCCCTGATAGCCTCCTTTAACCAGGCTAAATGTAGAAGGGATGTGGTGACGTGTCATTGTTCGTAATCTTGGAACACTTAGATTGTTCTTACCTGCAAATTTTCAACACTTTCAGCTAAACGAATAACCTGTGGAATTGTGTGTGTGGGTTAAACGACAAGGCGGATAGAAAATGATAAAGGGTTAGGGTTAGGGCTAATGAATCATGAGTGGAAATATGTCAAAATTTTCTTACAACATCTTTGCGGATGGGCAGGAGTGTGGATGGGACGATATATATATGTGTGGTAATATGTTGCGATGATCTCTAAGGCTATTCAACTTTGATCTTGTCAGTATGATTCATAAATAGATTATATGGTACAAACATATACAAAATAATACATTAAATCATAATATCATAAAATCATGAAATCATGAAATCATAAAATTATAAAATTATAAAATTGCAAAATTATAAAATCATAAAATTATATGCTTTATATCAAACATATTCATGAATCATAACTGATTTTGGGGTCCCAAAATAAGAGGCCCCAAAATCAGTTATGATTCATGAATATGTTTGATATAATTTTATAATTGCTGCACCCAGTCAGCCCTGCATTTAACGCAGCCCTGGCCACTCACCTTTGATCTAATCTGTAACCAGGAATTCATGAGATCTAAAGAGAAAACAACAGTTTGACCATCATCCAGACAAACAGCCTCGTATTTTTCTGTACAATACGACACAACTTCTTTATATATCGACCGAACATACGTGTGTTGAATTTGTTCAGCATTTTTAAATTCTAACGTATTTTGATTGATATACGTTCTCAAATTAAAGTAAAGTTTGGCATATCTCCATGGAAACACAAATGTCCTTCGCAAGCTCTTCGGCAATCTGTGATACAGCGATAAAAATTTGAAATTTCGCAGAGCTTCCCGAGCAGTGGGTAAACTGGTTTGATTTGTGGATCCGGACGATTTCTTGTTTTTCATTTCGTTATAATCGTGACTAGTACTCGGTATAAGTAAATCCATGGCAACGTAACCGAGTATAAGATCCTGTTGGATGTCAACATCATACATCTGTTTAATACGGTTGTTGATGAAGTCATCCCGACACTGTATAAAAAGATATTTAGCCGCCATACTATCAAAGACCGACAGCAACCTTAAACTCATCTCTTCTTTCAGACGGAATCGAAAACGGAAATAAAACAAGTTATCTCCCTTAGATATAAATTGGGGCGAACCCAGCCAAAGTTTGTGTTCGACGTCGATCAATCCGAAAATGGGAAAAGTCGCCGGAAAAAAGCCGTCATCTTTTTCCCCTGTTTTCATGAGCTCTCTTAGATGATCTGTGACCTTGCGACAAACTGTAGCTATGTTAAATGGTCTAATTTCCGATTTGAAGAGAATGCACGGAGGAAATGTTCCGTAAAATTTGACAGTTAATTGATCAGACGAAGATAAGGTGACATCTCCATTTTGTTCTTGATGTTCTACTGGGTTTGAGTCTTCAGGGACTCCAGGAACCGGAACCTCCTCAGGTACTTCAGCTACTGGAACCTCTTCAGAAGCCAATAATGTTGCAGGTAAACTTGTACCACCAACGGAGGTTCCAGCACTGTTGCCAACTCCTAATAAGGCTGTTGCACTTTCAGATGTCATTCTTGACTGAAATACAAAATTATACCGAAATCATGAATCACAAAACAATATTAGCATGTATGAAAAATGAAATAAAATGGGGTTTAATGAGAGAGATTTTGTCTGGATATGGAAATGAAATGAAATGAAATGAAATGGGGTTTAACGTCCTACTGTTTTGCTCCGAACTGGGCTAATGAAGACGGGCATAGGCCACACGGTGTGCTATGCGGGGAAATTTTTCCCGGACAGCGGCACAACGTCCGGCCTACTCTTATATTTATATCGAATTCCAACTGTCAAGGGATCTTTTATGTGCACGCCAATGTGTACACAGGGCCTCCGTTTTTTGTACCATTTGTGTCAACTTGTAGGTCCAAAATATTAGCGATAGTTGATTTCAAAGTTCTAATTCAGTAATTGCAGAAGAATACTATATACTACTACAAGTCATCCAGTAGCCTATTTCGTTAATTCATTAGATATAGTAGACTACACTTGTTTCAATACTTACAATATCTATCTCTCGGTTGTATGTCTTTTCTGTGGGTTTCACTTATGGATGGGTGACTATTTGGTTTTTGTTTGGTGCGGTTCTCCTTCACTTATTAATAGAGATAGGCGGCATCCATAATCACTTAATTAACTTTGTCTTTGACTTCAGATGAATAATAAATCGGTAATTTCACACAGGAATGTTGACACTGCTGAAGAAATGGTCAGTGGCGTATAAAAATATAGATTTTTCCTGGAATCATTTCTCCGAAGATTGTATTTTATATTGATCCGGTTGAATTCTCAGAAAATCTTTCTATTTCGCCGTATTTAGTATTTTTACGGGAATTTCCCTACTAAGGGAGGTAAATCTTCCCGGAAGTCCATTCGTTACAAAGGTAACTAATTTAAAGACGTTTCGTCAAATATTGATGTCCTTTTCGTCCCAATACGTAAAATGAGAGAGGGGATTTGTCTGTGAGTTCAGGCTCTAACTATTAAATTTCTCATACACTGCAACTTAAATTGGTGCTCATTTTGGTTAGTAACTGGGTGCTTGTTTGGTCGTACATAACTGACCTTCGAAATTGAAATGGTAGCCTAAAGCTAGCTGCAGGTAGGGTGGGTCAGTTGTTCAGATTGCTTGTTTGGTATGCTATCCTTAAGTAGAGACAGCAAGAGAAATGGTGTTAAAAGTCCACTCAACACAAACTAGGTCATTTTGGGATTAACATACAGTACAATTTTTTTCAATAAATTGCTTTCCCGTAGGGAGAGAGAGAAATGGGATTTAATGTCCACTCGACACAAACTAGGTCATTTCAAGGGATCTTTTACGTGTACGCCAATGTGTACACGGGACCTCAGTTTTTCGTACCATCCGAACGACTAGACAGCTGTCCTTGTCTGGACCTCCGTCCTGCATCACTGACAAGGGAGAACCACGCCAGAAAATCTGGATGAACTTTCTCGGCCAATGCAGTATGACAGACATTATTAACTAAAGTGTAGGTGTTAAACAGTTAGGCCAGCCAACTCTAAAGGCCTGAATGATACTTTTCCCGGCTCAAAACACCCCCAGGGCCTATATAGCCCTATACCCAATAATTTGTGCGTATCTGTTTGTCTTTAAAAAAAGATACAGAGAAACTAAAAATTGTGTAAAATCGATGTAAAGTCATGTGTTCAAGTATTCACTCTTTTATACCAAGTCAAAGGTTCAGAGTGAATTGAAAGTAGTGAAATGTGGAACAAATAGGAGCTAGCTAGATTCTAATGGTTACTAGTCCAGCTCCTATAAGGTATGCTTTTCTAAAAATAACTATGGCCTTCTGACTCAGGGGTATCCCTTTCTTGTAAAAACAAAGCAGTATCCCTATTTAAAAATGCATTTTTCTACGTGAATACAGAACAGATTCAGCTCAAATAATTTTGAGAATTCAGTAACAAATTAACACAAACATATCTTCTCCAAATATACAAGTAAATTGATGGTGTCATGACTTGTTAATTGATAGTGCCATGTCATGACTTGTTAATTGATGGTGTTGTCGTGACTTGTTAATTGATGGTGTCATGTCTTGTTAACGAGGCCTAGTTGTAAATGTTGGTGTGTGTGTATGTTAAAGACCCCTTCACAGTTGGAATTAGAGGTGGTCTAGGGGGAAAGGTCAATGTCCGGGTAATTTGACCTCTTCTTAGCACACTGCATGGCGTATGCCTGTATGCCTGCTTCATCAACCCAGTTGGACAAATTAAGAAACAAATTAGTTGAAACCAATTTCAGTTTTATTTCTTCCGTGTCTTGAAAATTTAAACATTTAAAAACTTATAAATAATCAAAATCAAGAATAGGAAACAAATTTTTAATGATAATACATGTTCCTGAAGAAACAGGAAACAAATTTTTATTGATAATACATGTTCCACAAGAAATAGGAAACAAATTTTTAATGATAATACATGTTCCTGAAGAAACAGGAAACAAATTTTTAATGATAACACATGTTCCTGAGGAATAAGACTTCCAATTGATGTGGGCATTTCATTTACAATTTCTACAAAAGGTGTATTTCATTGTCACAAATCAATCATTCAATGAACAAAGTTATATAACTAATAAACATAAAAGTATAAAGATTAAAGTTTCTACTGTAAATATTATAATAATGTGATTCTAGATGAATCAAGATAATATCTTCCATCTGAACGCAAAAATAAATAGATGATGTATCTTTTAATAAAATGTGAGAAAGCGAAATGGGGTTTAATGTCCACTGCACAAAAACTTTGGTCAATTTAATTTTAAAAATTTGCTTGTATGGGTCTTTAGCAGTGAGAGGAAATCAGAGGACCTCTAAGAAAACCCACAGGGTTGGACAGGCGACCGTACTCCTTGTCACGCACAAGTGTGGGATCAAAACCACGCCACTTGACTCAATGACAGACCTTATGATCTATAGTGATCTAAAATGAGTAGAAGATACTCATTTTTTAACTTAGTCAAGGTATTGTTGTAAGAAAACTATACACTGAATTTCACCACACTTAGATGTAGAGTGATCATATTTCAAAGCATTGACAAATCAAAATGCTCAATATTGCTTAGCCTAAATGGAAAAAGCTCATCATCGACCTCAGTCAATGTCTTCACCTTTACATCTTTACATCAAGTGGGAACATTATACCATAATTAGAGAGAGAGATAGAGAGAGAGAGAGAGAAATGGGGTTTAACATCCACTCACAAAACTAGGTCATTTCGGGACTAACCTATGGTTCTATTTTATTTCCATAATTGCCTTGCACGTAGGGGTCTTTACCTGTAAGAAGAAACCAGAGGACCCAGAGAAAACCCACGAGTTTGGATATACCACAATTAGATGCAGAGTTATTGTATAACATCTGGATAGACAGACAAACCCATTTTAATAGTCCCCTGCTCAATTTGATAGGTGGGGATCACTGTGGCTAAGAAGCTGGCTCGCTAGCCTGGAGGTCGGGTGTTTGATCCCTGCATTGGCCGAGAAAGTTCATCCAGAATTTCCGGCAGTGATGCAGGAAGGACGGCCTGACAAGGTCAGCTGTTTAGTTGTTTGGATGGTATGAAAAACCGAGGTCCTGTGTACACATTGGCATGCACGTAAAAGATCCCTTGACAGTTGGAATTTGATATAAGAGTAGACCGTAGTGCCGCTGTCCGGGAAAAATTTCCCTCATAGCACACTGTATGGCGTATGCCCGTCTTCATTAGCCCAGTTCGGAGCAGAACAGTAGGATGTTAAACCCCATTTCATTTCATTTCTTTGATGGGTTGTGAACAAAACAAAGAGACAAGTAATTCAATGAATAACTCTACATAAAAACACAGACTGAATATCCTTTAACTCGGTGTCTGATGATATTATATTTGTAAGATCTAAAGTTTCTAAATGTTTTAACAATAACAACGATTTTATTCCACCAGATGTAATTTCCGAACATCCAGAGATATTCAAATATCGGAGCTGCGTTAAACCTGATGAGATTTCATCAAGACACGCATCTGATAACCCAGCTGTGCGAGATAAATTTAATTTCTCTAAAAGTTTCAAATGACGACTAATATGATGCATAGATAATTCTGTTATCGTGGTTCCTGCGAGTTCAAGGTATTTTAATTTGGTCAAATTCATCGCAATACTTGTCAGTCCATTCTGCCCAACTCTGTAACACTCATTTAACATAAGTTCTTCCAAATTCGACCATTGATTTAAATCTTCTATGTCAAAATTATCCACTCGAGCACTTCCGGATACATTTAATGATTTTAGCTGAGGTAACAACGCTGTTTTATTGCTGTCTAACTTGAACCATCGTGGCTGCCACACGGACGAACGAACAGCTAAAGTTGTCAGAGTAGCGGGAAGTTTTTGACAATCTAAGTTATCGGTGTTACACTGATACAGATGAAGTATTTTGATATTTGGACATCTTTCAGATAAATCTTTAAGCATGGCATCGGACATGGAATATTTCTTGTTTTTAGGACCAGCTGAAAGATAAAAAGTTCCGAGTAAATAATAACAGGAACATGTTGTCATCAGGGTATGGCTTCTAGCTAGCCAATATGATTAAAATACAGATCTATATTTCGTTTCGTTTTTTATATTTTCGATGGTCTACACTACGTGAAGATCTGACCGTTTGTCTTGATAGGTTGCGTCAGGTTGTCCGAGCGGCTTTTATGACGTCAGACATTGATTAATCAATCAGCGTTGACGTTTCTAGTGGTTTATCCGCAGTTTCCTGCATCACAAGCCAAGAAGTCCCCATAACAGACTGTTTCATTGGCTAATCCCTCACTTCAACCAGAACGTGAGTTATACAACAACTCTTTCAGATCCTAGAGTTGTGAAGACAAGTAAAATGAAATTTTGATCTATAAAGAACGAAACGAAATAGGATCTGTGTTTAAACCAGATTGATAGATAGCTAGCTAAATCTTTAAGATGATGATTGTCATTTAAAGACGAGAGAGAAATGGAATTTAAAGTCCACTTGACAAAAACTAGTTTATTCCGGGATTAATAATTCGCTTGCATGTACAGGTCTCTCTTTAGCAAGGAGCAAAACCAGAGGACCCAAAGAAAACCCACATGCAACCCTTCATCCCAGATCAAAGGGCTGAAAGAAAAAAAAATAAAAGAACATAGTTTCATCAGGGTGTGGCTTCTAGCTAAATCTTAACGCTGACGAGCTAATATTCTTAACATTTAAGGGAAGAAAAATGGAATTTAATGTCCACTCGGCACAAACTAGGTTATTTCTGGACTGACACATTGGTCAATTTTATTTAAAAAACTTGCTTGCGAATAGGGGTGGGAGGAACTTGGAAGACCTGGAGAAAACCCACGAGGTTGGACAGTTGGGAATCGAAACCATGCCACTTGACTGAATGATCGACCTTATGATCTAATGGCATGCATTAAACTGTTCGTCTATCCACCCCCCTCCCCTCTTTATTTAAGTGATTTTGAATATATTGCCAACTTCAATATTCTTGTAGTTGAATATCTAAAAGGGATATCAGCCTAAAAATGGTTCCTCTCTCGTCAGTATTTACAAAGATATCATGAAATCATGAATTGAAACATCCAGCATCATTGGCAGACGAGATAAACTGGATATGATCAAAGCATTTTAGTGTGGATTAAGCTTGCTATTTAAACCTCCCAATACTCAAAGCCCAGCTTAACCGGTACAGGGCCCTGGGCCTGATTAGAATCGCAGGACCCATAATAGCTCAGTCTCTGCCCGATTACTGTAAAACTTTCATCTGGAATTTAAATTTTTTCTCATTTTGCCATGAACCACGGGGACCCCTAAACCTGGGCACCTCAGGCCCATGCCTAAGCTGGGCTTTGCCTATACTCACCACTTTTTGAAAAGCCTCTAATTTTCATGGATATTAAAACATCTGAGAAATGTGCTCGAATGACTTTCCACATTTTAGACATGTCTAACCGATATGGTGTCAGGTCAACATGGCGCCACAGTGTATTATCACGAACAATTCTTCTACATCGTCTATTTACCCTGAAAACAGACAAATTAAAGGCTTGATACGTCATTTAACACAATACGGTGAGAGAGAGAGAGAGAAATGAGGTTTAACTCCACTCGACACAAACTAGGTCATATGGTTTTAATGTTTTATGTCAATAATTCGCTTGCGTGTAGGGGTCTTTAGCAGTGGAAGGAAACCGGAGGACCAGGCGCGAGAAAACCCAAGAGGTTGGACAGGCGACCCTACTCCTTGTCACATACAACAGGGGATTCGAAACCACGCCAGTTGACTCAATGACAGGCCTTATGATACAGCGTGCACGTGCTAACCATTCGACCATCCACCCCCCTAACACAATAGGAACCTCTTGCAAAGTGTGAAAGAGTCTGGTTATTCTCTTCTTGTCAATCAATGTGCTTTAAAGTCTCACTGCATCATTGCAGGGCCCACGGTGGCTAAGTGAGTAAGACGCTGGCTCGAGGTCACAGGTTCGATGCCAGTGTTGACTAAAAAAGTTCATCAGAATTTTCCGGTGTGGTTTACCTTGTCAGTGGTGCAGGTTGACTGTCTAGTCATTTGGATGGTACGAAAATTGAGGTCCTGTGTAAACATTGGCGTTCATGTAAAATATCCCTTGACAGTTGGAATTCGATATAAGAGTAGACTGTAGCGCCACTGTCCGTGCAAAATTTAGAAAAATATGATTAACGGGTATTCTGTCTTAAGAGTGCTGATAAATGAATGCCAGTCAAGTCGTCCACAAGCAAAGTCGTCCACACGAAAAATCTGGTTAAGTCGTCCACACCCGTTGGTGGAGTCGTCCACAATCGTTGGTGGAGTCGTCCACACAACTTAGTATAATTTCTGGATATAGTAATACGTTGGTGGAGTCGTCCACACGACTCGTGTAACAGTTTGATTAGAAGATAAAATTGAAGGTTATTTCTCGCGGCCTTGTGGTTGATTCTCCGATGCCATCCCTCGACGTCGTTGTTGGTTCTAATTGGTTGTAAAAATACACACCAATTTTCGACATCCCAGGAATCCATCCATGTTCTCTGAATATACAAAAATAATTCTTTAAGTAGTTTTGTAATTGCGTATCTTTCTTGTATTTTTAGGAACTCTGGTGAGATGTGCTCTGCCGGAAGAAAGGGGAGTGCGAAGATCTTCCGTATGGTGCGGTATACATCGATAATACTAATCAAACAAACAAAAATGCTAAAATCATAACGCCAATTAACAAACAATACAATAAACTTTATTACAAAAACACTGTTAATACTAATCAAAAATGTTACAATCAAGTTTCAAGTTTTTATTACCCTTGAGTCAAAGACTCATCGGGAAAAACAGAAATATTTACAAAACAAAAATGAACAATACAAATATCCACATATACTAATATATAAACACAGTATTTACAAACAAGAATCGGGATATGGAGAGTAGAGTGGCCGTATATTAATTGTTACTTTTCCGTTTAATCTCTTCATCTCTTATTTTATTAGAAAAATATAAAAATCTACCAAGGTTTACAAGTTCAGATACATTTTTAGTACATAAAAGATTAAATAATTTAAAAACACTGGGGTTCGAATAATAATGTTTTTTTATATATTTATATCTCAGATTTTTATAAATTGGACAAATTAAAACAAAATGGTACTCATCTTCAATGTCTTCAAAATTACACAATGTACATAATCGTTTACTTCTCTCAATATATTTAGTACTATATCGTAACCTTTCAATATTTAAATTATGACTGGACAAACGGATTCTTGTAATTTCAAGTCTTTATTTTCTGTCTATTGGTTTAGTCAAATAATATTGTAAGCCAAATGTATTCACAATATGTTTATAAATGATACATTTACTTGATAATTCAAATTTCTCAATACAATCCTGTCTAAATATGTCTAATAATCTTTGTCTGATGATATGGATACAATTTGTGTTTAAGAGTTGAGCAGGTTTTTCCCGTAAATCTCCCAAGCCAATTTTAAAAAGTTCCTTCTTAACATTCAGGACCCATGGGTCATTATTTATTAACATATTAGAGTAGCAAGAATTAAGTAAAACATTAGTAGAAGAACGTATTTTAATCCAGTATTTAAAGATCCGTAATTTTCTCGTAATGATTAAAGGGAAACGTCCAAGTTCATAATAGATCATGTGGGAATTTGTGGTTGTTCTTGTATCTAAGATTTTCTTAAGGTACCTTAAATGTATTTGTTCTATATCATGTCCCGAATGAAAACCCCAAACTTCAGCTCCATAATTTAGAATACAAGAAATAAAAGTATCGAAAATACAAAGTTTAGTTACAATATTAAAATAATTTTCATTACAAATTTTTGAGACTGAGAAGAGAGCTTTTCGACCTTGTTCAGCAATATGTTTTTGTGTAATTAGATATTTAACATTAAAATTTAGTAGTACGCGGTGGGAATGTTTTCTGTGGGAGTATACTCCATGTCATTGTTATAGAACTGAGGAGATCCACTGCTCAGACATCGCCTCTTACTTCTTCTGTCTGCTGGGGGATCTTTCCATGGTCTGTACACAGGCGCAGTTTTGGGCAAAGTGTTTTCTTTATCCTCATCATGAACAGACTGTTCATACAATTTCCCATCTATAAAGAGTTTATCCCTTACCATCCGAGTTTTATGACCTTTCTGCTTATAGTTCTTCATGACACGGTAAAGTATTTTTCGTTTCTCTTCAATAATGGCTGGGAATTGTTGGTTGATGCCATACGGCTTATCTTTGAGTCTGTTTGAAATACTGAGTATATACTCCAGGTCTCTGTGGTAAATGAATCTGGCTACAATTGGGAGATTACGCCCCGTGTCATGTCGACCAAAACGATGCACATTCCCAAATTCAAAATAATAATCCACACCTAGTTCATGCACAATAAACAGTCTTAGTAACTCTTCTGTATTTTCACCCGTATTTTCTTTTAGACCTTGAAATATAAGATTATTTTTCATAGAGCGACACTGCAGGTCAATGACAGTTTGGAGAAGTTTATCATGATCACTCTTAATACTGCTCACTTGATTTACAACTGACTTAGAATGATCACTAATACTTTTTACGTCTGTTGAAAGTTTCTCAATCCTTTCATAATTTTCTTCGGTTTTCTTACTAACCTTATCACATAAATTACTGATCTTCTTCAAGCTATCATCCCGGTCTTTATCTTTCTCTTTCATAGTTTTCAGATCTATCACCGATATTTGGCTCTTCATCCCAGCTAAGCTAACAGTGACTCAATATTTCCGATCTTAACCATTACATGTTCTAACCTTTTCATTATTAAATCCATATTAGTTAACAATTGAACAATTTGATTCATAATGGGTCCATCATCTAATACTGGTAAATCCATAGAACTATCGACAACATGGAGTAAACTTTCGAAGGACAATCATAACGTCAATTAAAAGCAAATATACTTTATTAAAAAAACATCGTTAATACTAATCAATCAATCAAAACTGCTAAAACCATAACGCCAATTAACAAACAATACAAAATACAAGTATACTTCATTGCAAAAACATCGGTGAACAACAAACTAACAAAACAAACAATAACATCGGCGTTTTGAGTACGAGTAAATTGTGTACGAGTCTTATTCTTAGTTGTGGACGACATCACCAATGCCTTGTGGACGACTCCACCAATGGGTGTGGACGACTTCACTGTGGACGACTTTGCTTGTGGACGACTTCACTGGCACCCCTGATAAATGTCTATAAAAATGAAAGTAGATAAGGGGGTTCTCAATAAAATCAATCTGTTTCTGCATTAAAGAAAAAAATATTAGTGATTTTTCATATCTAATTGTTTTTCGAGGCTCTTGCATCATCTGTAATATTTACCGTCCGGTTAAACAAAGATCTTTCACAGGTAAATAACTCAAAATATCTAAAATGATATTATCCGGCAGTGTATTGAAAGTTGCCATTTTGATCACATCACGTGACTTAGACATCTTTATCAAGTAATGAACCAGTGCAGAAATGCAGACGTCTTGATAATCGACAAAAATTAATCATCATCCCGTTATTGATGACGTAGTGAACACAGGAAAGAGAAGATGGCTTCTATCGGCCAAAGAGCGTTTGCTCAGAAGCTGAATAAGTGAGTAATATTCGTATTATTAGTTGATCTTAAATGATGAATCTTTGTTTTCCTGCAATACAGACCATAAATATTTGTAATTAATAAGAATTTTTCTTGCTGAAAGGCAGCTGGACTTTGTTTTTGGTCGTTGTTTATGTTCTTGATTAACTCCGGTGGCGGTTGTCCATCCTCAACAATCGAATGAGTCAGTACCGGTATTTAATAGATTTACAGTAGATCGAGCACTAGTAAAATTTACATAATTGTTGCATAAATATCAGTTACTGCTCTGGCCTGATTCATTCATGTAGTCAATATTTCTGTATAAAAAGAAACCTCATCTTTCAACCCTCAGTGTTTCGAGATAAGAAAGAGATGGCATTATTTTTATCTAATAATACTAATAGATCTACCTGGCAAAGCCCAGTGCATATCAGATGGGGCTTTAAAAGCAAACCTGATAATTTTGTCTTCAAAACAACAATCGATTATTGTTATTTATAACAATTTTTCCACATCCAACAACAAATAAGCATATAATCCTACCCGACACCGGTACAAACCATTTCTTTTAAAGGGGCTAAATCGCTAATATTTGGGACCTAGAAATTGATACAAATGTGTGGGAACGCATATAATAATGTAATATTAATGTATTTAAACTGATTCACATTCAGTCGTTTCTGTTTTTACTGTAATTTTAATCAGTTATGTTCAGCGAAATACGACAGAAGCCTCAATCGAATGGCAATCTCTAGCCTCTGTTTATTCCAGTCTACACCGATAATATTTATTGCGCATGCTCTCCAGATAAGAATATGACGTCAACGTTTGACATGACTTGTAGAATTTGCCTTGCCTCGTTTTTCGAGTCCCTTATTACAAATAGCGCTGAAACGCATCATGGTACACGATTCGTGTACCAATCGTAAAATGTTTATTTTGTCATAAATATTGGATATCAGAAGTCCATCTTTTCCTGGTAAGATCACAACATCAATGTTGATTTAAATTTCGTGTTTTCAATGTCGAAGATTTTGGACGATATTGAGTTAGAGACTTGGCTACCATACTTTAAATTGTTGGCTTTCCATGGCATTTTAAATTTGACATCTTTATGTCATGTTATGTTAAGTACAACAGCCAATCAAAGTACTAACCTGATACGAGTGGAGCCGGACTAATGCACTCTAAATATGAATGTATCATCAAAGAATGCCTGATTCACTTTATTGACAATATTTGCAGATTGGGCTGCATATGTTTAATAAGTCCTACTAGTATAAAATTAACTGATTTTTTAGATGTTACATGCATTAATAACGAAATTAAGTTTGCCAGGTGAAACTAAAGGCACCAAATCGTAGCTATATATCTATATGTCTAGCCATCTTATCACAATGTCTAGTCGTTCTGATGTGACGAAAAAACAAGGTCCTGGGCACACATTGGCGTGCACGTAAAAGAATCCTTGACAGTTGGCATTTAAAATACGAGTAGAATGTAACACTTCTGTCCTTGCAAAATTTCCCTCATAGTCATACATGTAGCACACTGTATGGCGTATGCCGGCTTCATTAGCCCAGTCGGTGCAAAAATGTAGGATGTTAACCCCATTTCATTTTATTTCATATAGTATCATTAGGTAACTCATTGTATAGTTGATTTGATCTATTTACATGTAGGCCTATTTATAATAGTAGATTTTATGAAATCCTGCCTATTTTATTTATGTTTTACTTATAGACATGCAGCCGCGGATGTACGACGTCAGGTTTCATCAACAGTATCATTTGGACAACCAGAAGTACCCAAGAGTCTCAGTGGATTAAGTCTTGCTTCTGGCCAAACAGTAAGTTTCATTAAATATTTGTAGCACTGAGATATAATTTTTGTATGATCTGCAAACAGATAAAAACAATTTTTTAAAGTAGGATAGGAACACTGAATGAACAAAAAAAAATTCTTTTTTCGCAGTAGTTAATAAACCCAGGTTTTTCAAGGGGGATGGGCTGAAAAACAAGGTCCTGTTTACGTATTGGCGCACACGTAAAAGAAATCTTGACAGTTGGATCTAGAAATAAGAACAGGTCATAGTGCCGCTGTCCATGCAAAATTACCCTTATAGCACAATGTATGGTGTATGTCCGCCTTCATTACCCCTGTCAGTGCAGAAAAGTAGGACGTCAAGCCCCATTTTATTTTGTTTTTCAAGAATGTGACTTTTTTTTGCACCTTACAATTAGTAACAACAAGAGAACTTCACATAAACAAACATAATGCCAGCAGACACACTTGCATATCAATTTTCAAATTAAATATAGAAACGTTTTGGTATATATATGTAATTTTTAAGACATTCATTTTTGATTTTTTTGTAGGTTCCAATATCTGACGTCATTGATCCGCCAGAATTTGAGGATTTTGTTATTCAGAATCAATGTATGATAGAACGAGATCCTTTCCGGGATTTACTGTTGTTTCCGGAAGATGATATTGAGGTTCATAGTGTGGGAAAAAGATGTCGAACAATATCTCCTGTTATCCCAGAACCAGGGTACGGATCATTTCATTCAACATCTTTTATTGAAGGAAGTCGCGGTGGCTCAGTGAGTAAGAAGCTCACTCACAACCAGGAGCTCTGGGGTTTGATCTTGTTGTTGGCCGAAAAAGCTTTCCAGGATTTTCTGTGGTTTGCCCTTGTTAGTGATGTAGGACAGAGGGCCACTCGAGGACAATGTCTGGTCATTCAGAATCAGCAAAAAAAACCAAGATCATTTGTAAAGATTTGCGTACAAGTAAAAGATCACTTGATAATTGGAATTAGAAATATGACTGGGCGGTAGCGGCTCTACTTAGCACTGTATGACGTAAGGCGCGTGCTAGCTAACCAAAAGGTCCGGGATATGAACACGAATGGGCACGCAGGGGGGGGGGTAAGGTCACAGGTTCAATCCTGGTGATGATCGAGAAAGTTCCCCAGGATTCTTGAGTCTGGTGGCCCTTGTAAGTGGTGAAGATGTTGGGCCTGGCCAGGACAGCATCTAGTTGTTAGGATGGGACGAAAAACTGAACTCCTGTGTACACATGGCCGAGCAAGTAAAAGAAACCATGACAGTTGAAATTCCAGTTGAAATTCAAGATAAGAGTAATCTGTAGTACCACTGTCCTGGCTATACCATACACCTGACTTCATCAGTCAACTCATTAAACCCTTCATTTTTTATTTCGAAATGTATCTATAGATAACGCTTCAAGATTATCAATTATTAACCAATTTGTTTTTTCCTTTTTATTTTGAACAGAGCCGACCAAGATCCACACGTAGCCGACTGTATTACACGATATACTTCAGATTATACAGTAGTTTCTAGAAAGTAAGTTGACATAATACAGTAGTTTCTAGAAAGTAAGTTGACATAATGTCGTAAAGATAATTGTAAAAACTGTCATATTTACTGGATGTTTCGGGCAATCCAACCAATTACTAAACAGTGTTAAAACTCAGGGTAATTGTCATAGTTACTGGATGTTTCAGGCGATCCAATTACTAAACAGTTTTAATAATGTTAAAACTCGGGATAGTTGTCATAGTTATATGCTGTTAAAATGTTTGTGTATTTTTATTGTAGACATCAAACATACAGTTCAAGTTACTGTAGTAAAGATCGTATGGCCCACAGTGATGGAATGATTTATCAAGATTATGAAGTAGACATAGAGGATGCTCCAACACAGTTTGAAAGAGTAAGTCACCTACAATGATTGTCTTTATTTATTTACAAGGACAGCTGTCTAGTCGTTCGGACAAATTGGCGTGCACATAAAACATCCCTTGGCAATTGGAATTCGATATTAGAGTAGGCTGTAGTGCTGCTGTCCGGGCAAAATTTCCCTCATAGCACACTGTATGGCGGATGCCTGTCTTCATTAGCCCAGTTCGGAGCAGAATAGTAGGACGTTAAACCCCATTTCATTTCATTTTCTTTAAATACTGGGGTGGTTGGGGGGCTTAATGATAGAATGAGTAGGCTTTAGAACAGAAGGTCTATCATTGAGTCAAGTGGTGTGGTTTTGGTTTCCAGCTTGAACATGACTGATTTGGGTCGTCGGTCCAACCTCATGGATTATCTTTCTGTCCTTCCACCGCTAATGACATGCTCGCATACGAATAACCAAAGTAAAATTAAACCATATGTTAGTCCTGAAATGACCTAGTTTTTGTCAAGAAGATGGTAAACACCATTTTTTTCTCTCTAAAGATGTTACACATGTATAAAACAGCATATCAACAAGTGTTCTCGTATCGTTCTCAAGCACAAATCATTGTTTCCATAGAAATTGTGAAGTTTGTCATATTTAGGTCTGGTTAATTAGGTCTATCAACAATAGTTATCTTTTCCGTATAAATTGTGTTGTGTTTTTTTTATGATTCTTTTGAATGTTCTACCGACAAAATTTATCAACAGATCCTGTTTGAAGTTTTTCATATATAGGTCTGGTTAATTAAATCTATCAACAATACTTGGTTTGAATTACAATAATAACGAATAGTTATTTCTAGAGTTATTGCCCTTACTTGATTATATCATATAATTTTTTCAGCATGCCAGTGAGTGATATATTAGAGTATTATGATTTTATTTTACCTAAGGGTTTTTTGTTGCCTGGCAACCAATATTTTAAAAATTAAATGGAAAATTCCATTTTTATCGAAAAGTTACATTAAAATATTTTGTTTACATGTTTTTTTTTTATAGGACAGTAATAAACGCCACTCGATCCATATGAACGAGACACCAAGAGGTAGTTGGGCCAGTAGTATATTTGATCTCAAACAATCACAGGCTGACGTCATGCTGCCAAATCTGTTCGATAGATCGACTCCCGAAACAGTCGATAGATATAATGAGAATCAACGACAAGAAAAACGTCAGGATAATATATTTAGTCTTTATCCACCACAAGATGAGGTAATATTACTAAACATCATCATCACCCGGTTGGAGTGGACCTGCCATTAAACTCCATTTCATCATAGCCCGGTTGGAGTAGACCTGCCATAAAACTCCATTTCTACACAACTTCATCTTCAAAGTGGATGTTAAACTCCATTTCTTTCTCTTTAACAACCCTTGATGCTTATCTGAAAATGACCTCACCCCAATTCCAATTGATGAGTCATGGGGAAGAACGAAAATGTTTGATGCGAACAGAACAACAAGTGCGTTTAATTACAACTTCAAAATGATGTTTAATACGAATCATAATTACCAGTACAACAACTGACTTCCACTTTTTAGCCACATTAAGGTCAAATAAAGGGTACGATGGACGTATATGGGAGGCCATTTCAGAAGGGCCTTGGTTCGATGTGACTCCGATCGTTTTTGCCTGAAATTGATTGTTTCACAGAAAGCTTATACAATTTGTTACCAGATGGTGCCATTAACTGGGGTTCGTTGAAAAAGTGACTTAGATCGTTCTTCCCCGGGGCACTGACTGTTTGAAGATATAGTATAAATTGTTTATTATCGTAACAATGATACTTGACAATCAAGGCTATGATGTACAGTTATCCATTTTCTGGTTAATTTTTTTAAATCTTGCGGGTGTTTTAATCTGTTGATCTAAAGAATTGATTATCAGGCCCGTAGATGGGGGGGGGGGGGAGGGAAGAATCAGTTCCCCCAATGGGCGACATTGGCACCCTTTCCATTAGATGCAATACAAAGCCAATGACCAACGTGCTCGTCTTGCCCTCCTGCTGGCTACAGGCCTATCCGAAGCCAATGACCAACATGCTCGTCTTGCCCTCCCGCTGGCTACAGGCCTATCCGAAGCCAATGACCAACATGCTCCTCTTGTCCTCCCGCTACCTACGGGCCTGATTATAGGCCTGTCATGGTAGTAATAAACTAATTAAGGATTTTTATAACATTTGAAGCCAAAAGACATGAAATAGGAAGATTTAGCTGTTACATAATACATCGTTAACAAAACCTATTCTAAATATTCTATTTTTATTGGTTATTTTAGGAAGAGATAATTGAAAGAAGAACACCAGCTGAAGTTCCACGAGAACATTTTGGTCACCGTATTCTCGTCAAATGTTTACAATTATCGTAAGTCTTTTCGTATTCTCGTCAAATGTTTGCAATTATCGTAAGTCTTTTCGTATTCTCGTCAAATGTTTATAATTATCGTGATTTTTTTTTATGTATTTGAGGAGCCGCGGTGGCTCAGTGGGTAAGGCACTGGTTCACTAACGAGGAGGCCCTGGGTTCAATATGGGTGTTCTCTGATAAAGTACTACAGGATTTTCCAGCCAGACGTCCCATTGTCTTTAGGGCGGACAGCCTAGGTCCCTGTGTACACCTAGCAGTTGAAAGTTGAGGAGAATTAAAAGGAAATATAAGCATTGAAATGATAAATTGCATAGAAGTATCATTATTATGCTGATACTAGTCTAGGGAGCCATGGTGGGTAAGACGCTGGTTCGCTAGCCTGGAGGTCGGGTGTTCGATCCCTGCATTGGCCGAGAAAGTTCATCAGGACTTCAGACATGATTTCCCCTTGTCAGTGGTGCAGAACGGAGGGCCTGACAAGCACAGCTGTCTAGTCATTCGGATGGGATGAAAAACCAAGGTCTTGTGTATACATTGACGTGCACATAAAAGAACGTTTGGCAGTTAAAATTTGATATAAGAATAAGGCCATATTGCCGCTGCCTGGGCCAAATTTCCCTCATAGCACACTGTATGGCGCATGCCTGCCTTCATTAGCCCAGTCGGAGCAGAACATTAGGATGCTAAATCCCTTTTCATTTCATTTTTTATTTGATACTAGACTGAAAATTGAAGAAAGTTAAAAGACAAAGTAATTATTGCTACCGGTATTTCCCTGGACAGATTGAAACTGTCTATAAACTACTGTTCCTTAGCCTGCCTCAAAATTTATTAGTTCATGCAGACGCCACCGCTAAGTATGTGACATGATGGTTTGTTGCAGTCTAAGGAGAACTAGTTAGAATGGTTTGGGGCGGTCTAAGTGCTAAACGGTTAAACCCTTTTTCATTTCATTTGTGAATTATCATGGATTCTCTAAGTAGCTCATTAAACCCTATGTCATTTCCAGTTATTAACTTGATGTATCTTGTACTTCAGGTTGGAGATGGAAGTTGAACCTATTTTTGTTTCCATGGCTTTATACGATGCTAGAGAAAAAAAAAAGGTAAAAAAATAAACTAATCTGTAACAGTAGTTAAATACATTCTTGTAAATCACAATAATCACAGGATTCAACATAAACCCTCCCAGATGCTGCAGTTTTTAGGGTGTGACACTTTTTAATGAAATGAATTGTACAACTGGTTTGATTCAATATGTGTTTCAGATATCATCTTGACGGTCCTGACTTAAAATTATTGGGGTGGGGTGATTGGTCGAACTCATGGGCTTTAGGTCATGATTGTAGACTAGTTTGATTATATATTATGTCTGATTATATATTATGTGTGATTATATATTATGTTGGATTATATATTATGTTGGATTATATATTATGTTTGATTATATATTATGTTTGATTATATATTATGTGTGATTATATATTATGTCTGATTATATATTATGTTTGATTATGTATTATGTTGGATTATATATTATGTCTGATTATATATTATGTTTGATTATGTATTATGTTGGATTATATATTATGTCTGATTATATATTATGTTTGATTATATATTATGTCTGATTATATATTATGTCTGATTATATATTATGTTTGATTATATATTATGTTGGATTATATATTATGTTTGATTATGTATTATGTTGGATTATATATTATGTTGGATTATATATTACGTTTAATTATATATTATGTTTAATTATATATTATGTTTGATTATATATTATGTTGGATTATATATTATGTTGGATTATATATTATGCTTGATGTTTGATTATATATTATGCTTTTCAGATATCGGAAACATTTCATTTTGATTTAAACTCGGAGAATATGAAGAGATTAGTTAGTTTGCATATACCATATCAAGATGTATCAACATTAAGTCGAGCCTGTACATTCAGTATAACGTACCCATCACCAGATGTATTCCTAGTTGTTAGGGTAAGTTATATATACATCTGCTCGTTACCATTGTTTTGTAAACTGAAATTTAAATCTGGTCCGTAAGCCCCAATGGCTCAGTGAGTATGACCCTAGTTTTCTGGATCTGAAAGGTGGGCTAATACATGTACTTTTAACCCGTTAAGTGCGTAGGTCGTTATATAGCGTCCTGGACAACTGCCACTCACTGTGTGTATGGCGTATTATAAGGCTTTGGAGGTATTTTCCCCAACCCAGGCATCGATATTTCCGCGCACATGCTTTAAAAAAACTTTTTTGCAGGCACATTTTTAAAGATGTAGCTACGCCAGGCGGCACCTGTGCCCGGCACAATTTTTTGACGCCCAGCACAAAGAAAAAATCGAAGGAAGCCGCCCAGTCGTATTTAAACCCCTTCGTCCTCCTCTGTACACAAAAACGGCACTCGAAATTTGCCACAGCAATTAAACGGCAAAGCCATGGTAAAAGCTGACGTACGCAAACCAAATTAGTTTAAAGAAAGATGTATTGGTATTTTGTTTATTTATACTTAGAAGATGTGTAGGCCTAGGTCTATTCATTTTACAATTATTCTACGGTCTTTATATTTGTTTATTTGTCGTAAATAGGTCACTCGAACCAATTTACGGCACTCCAATGTTAAAGGTTTGAATGTCGTAATTATCCAACACGTGCCGGCAAATTTTCACGATGTTTCTTATTTTATTTCTTACCTGTGTTGACCGTGGATTTGCTACGGCCCGGAGTAGGACTAGGAGGACGATGAGAGCTTTCTCAGTTTCTGCCTCACCTGATTCTCATTCCACCATAATAATAATAATATTCGTGAGACACGTACAACAACTTTACAAACAAGTCAAATAATACAAAGTGTTTTAATTATCAATATCTACCTGTTGTCATAATTCCTTGTACTCAAATAAAACACAAACACCGTTTTAAGAATCGTTTTAATTTTTAATCTCAAAGTAATATTTGAAAAAGAACCCAACAAAACAACAAATACCGAAAGGTCCTCAACTTATCTATCCAGAGAAAACGAGTGGGGTGGTGTCAAAAAGCATTTAGATCCCTGTATCATTGATGAAAATTAAGTGAATTTGGTAAAATTTGAATATATAAATGGAAATTTGATTTGCACTGAACCAAATACAAAAGGCAGCAGATGCTCTGAAAATACACCATTCACCAAATCCTGGCTACATCCCTGTCTTTCAGTAGTATGACCCTGCAGGCACATTTTCAAGTGTGTGTGCAGGCACATTTTCAAGTGTGTGCGCAGGCACACTCAACTTTTATAGAGCCCTGCCCCAACCTATTCTTAGAATATAGTTCGTCACTTGGGGGAATCCCTTGGGATTCTTCATCACTTCGTCAAATTAATTACACAATAGGGGGTAGTTAACTTTTTAAAAACATCACGCTTAACGGGTTAATCATAAGGTCTGTCATTGAGTCAACTGTCTTGGTTTTGATTCCTCGGTTGTACGTGACAAGGAGTAGGTTCACCTGTTCACCCTCATGGGTTTTCTCCGGGTCCTCCAGTTTCCTCCCACTGCTAAAGACCCCTACGCGTAAGCAAGTTTTTGAAATAAAATTGTGTCACGTTAATTCCAAAATGACCTAGGCCGTAAGAGTAGGCCGTAGCGGCGCTGTACAGGCAAAATTTCCCTCATAGCACTCTGTATGGCGTAAGCCCGTCTTCATTAAACCAGTCGGCGCAGAAAAGTAGGACATTCTGGGCAGGTATTATTAAATTACGAAAGGTATTTTGTGAATCAAGGTTTGAAAAGAAAAAATATGATTTGAATAACGTTAATTTCAACCTCTAACCTTAATTTCCTTTTTACTTGGATTTGCAATATGTTAGGGACTTTCGTCATTTGATAAAGACTAAGGAATGGTGGTTAAACTACTAACGGTATTTTATGAATCATATACCCAATTTTGTTTATATTTTTCAGCTAGAGAAAGTTTTACAACAAGGTGATATTAGTGAATGTGCTGAACCATATATGAAAGAAGATAAAGTGAGTTATTTTACTAGATTAATCTTTACAGTTTATCTCCGTATTTGTAACATCTGCTCCGATTCCCTGCTTGTATGTGATGAGGAGTAGGGTCACCTTGTAACCTCAACTCTCGGTTAACTCAGTTAGATTGAATGGTACAGAATTGAATATATATGTCAGGACAGACTATGATACTCGAGTGACTACTTGCGTGCATTTGTACGTGACAAGGAGTAAGGTCGTCTGTCCAACCTCGTGGATTGTTCTCCGGGTCCTCAGGTTTCCTCCCACTGCTAATATTGAAATATTATTGAACCGTGTGTTAGTCCCGAAATGACCTAGTATAGACTTTAATCTTAACAATTTAAACTCTCGTGAATGTTGAGTTTGACTATTAAAGATGGAAACACAGCTGTCAAATAGTCAACATTTCCCTTATAGCATGCTGTATCACGTACACCCTTCTTCATTTCCCTCATAGCATGCTGTATCACGTACACCCTTCTTCATTTCCCTCATAGCATGCTGTATCACGTACACCCTTCTTCATTTCCCTCATAGCATGCTGTATCACGTACACCCTTCTTCATTTCCCTCATAGCATGCTGTATCACGTACACCCTTCTTCATTTCCCTGTTAGCATGCTGTATCACGTACACCTGTCTTCATTTCCCTCATAGCATGCTGTATCACGTACACCCTTCTTCATTTCCCCTCATAGCATGCTGTATCACGTACACCTGTCTTCATTTCCCTCATAGCATGCTGTATCACGTACACTTCATTTCAATCCATTTTATTAAATTTGTTTATATTTTACTCAATTAACGTTTGTTTATATTTATATTCTAGTCCGCAAAAGAAGAGAAATATCGTACCCAGGCCTCTCAGTTCTGTGAACGTCTGGGCTCGTACAGAATGCCGTTTGCGTGGACAGCAATTTATCTAATGAACATAGTAACAGGGGGTGGAAGTTTAGAGAGAGAAATGTCCGTCGACGTGCCAGAAAAAGAAACATCAAGAGCAGCTTCCTTAGGTAATTGTTGGTTTTTTTCTTGTTATAAAATCAATTTCTTACAGCTGCGTGAATGCAAAAAATTTTATAACTTTCATAATTTACAAGGTCTAGGCAGAAATGCTATTGTTCAGCCAAATTCTCTCTCTCTCTCTCTCTCTCTCTCTCTCTCTCTCTCTCTCAAAATATATAATATATTCAAAGCCATTAACCATATATTTTGTTATTCTTCGTCACAGATCGTAGAAGTGGTCAATTTGGAAGTCAGTTCGAAGGATTCCGTAAACGATCTAAAGACGATATGTCTACGGGTCGTCGTGGATCCATGGATCGGGGACGAGCTGGATTTGAGAAGCGTAGAAGTTGGTCGCCTGATACATATGGTGCCAGTCTTGATAATTTTAGACCAATCACATTGACCGTTTCAAGCTTTTTCAAACAGGTGGGTATTATTTAAATTTCTAAAATCCTTTAGCGTCTGTTAAAATACCAGCTAGATGTCAATACTACTAACCAACCGACTTATAGATGATACCTTGGGGGATGGGTGTACTTCAGACATTTTGTGGTGGGGGGCGGGGCTTTGGACATTTCGATAGGGATGGGTGTACTTCAGACATTTTGAAGGGACTTGGGTGTACTTCGGACATTTTGAGGAGGCTTTGGGTGTACTTCGGACATTTTGAGGGGGCTTTGGGTGTACTTCGGACATTTTGAGGGACTTTGGATGTACTCCAGACATTTTGAGGGGGGGTTGGTGTACTTCGGACATTTTGAGGGGGCTTTGGGTGTACTTAGGACATTTTGAAGGGGGTTGGGTGTACTTCAGATATTTTTAGGGGGGTTGGGTGGTCTATAGATAAGCTTCATATCGTAAAGTTTGTCAATGAGTCAAGTTCCGATCCCAGGCCCGTTCAAGTAGGAAGATCATCTGCTTAAACCTTGTGACTTTTCTCTGCGCCCTCTTCCGACGTGGTTCCCCCTTGTCTAGTCATTCGGATGGGAAGAAACATCGAGGTCATGTGTACACATTGGCTTGTACGTAAAAGATCCCTTGACAGTTGTAATTCGATGTAAGAGTAGGCCGTAGTTCCGATGTCCGGACAAAATTTCCCTCATAACACTCTGTATGGCGTGTGCCCGCCTTCATTGGCCCAGTTCGGAGCAGAACAGTAGGACGTTAAACCCCATTTCACTTCATTTCTCTCCGCCCTCTGGTTTCCATTTTAAGAACCCTAAATGTATTGTCAAGTGGATTATTGAAAAGAAAGTTTTATATTTAGTTTAGTTTTAATATTTTTTGCAGGAATCAGATAAATTAAGTGATGACGATTTATATAAGTTTTTAGTGGATTTAAAACGACCATCGTCAGTTTTAAAAAGAGTTAAATGTATTCCAGGTAAAGATGCATTTTGTTTTATTCATCCACATTCAAAACCTTTGTATAACAAAAATTTATTTCCATGGAAACACAAAAATTTATTTATCTGAGGAATTTCTAATGACCAAAAGGCACCATTGCTACAGTAGGTTGATGTGTGTACAAAGTTTCATAAAGATGGAACGGTTTATGAGATAAGCTGCCTAAACGTATTAAAGAAGGACCCCAGTACATGTCTGAACTCCATTTGACATGGGAATTTGACTCGAGTTTGCGAGCAAATAATTTAAAAAGGCTTTACTATATCTGTAGTAGAAATATGATCAATCTGATTATAATACAGATCTATATTTCGTTTTGTTTTTTATACTTTCGATGGCCTACACTACATGAAGATCTGACCGGTTGTAGCAGAAGGCCACGTCAGGGGTCATATGAGCAACTTTTGACCCTATGACATCCGATATTTGAATAGCCATCAGCGTTGGAGTTTCTAGTAGGATACTCACAGTTCTGTGCATTGCACGAAAAGAACTCGCTGCAAGAGACTGTTTCATTGGCTAATCCCGCACATCATCCAGATGGATGTTATATAACAACTCTTCCAGATCCTCATGTAGTAAAAACAAGTTAAGGGAAATTTTGATCTGTAAAAAACAAAACGAAATAGGATCTGTGTTTTAATCAGATTGAAATATGATTTATTTTAACAAAATTTTAAAAAAATCCCTGTATTTTTGTCTATTTTTATTTCAAGCTGTATTGAAGTTAGATATATCACCGTGTCCTGAAGAAATTAAATATTGTTTGACCCCTGACCTTCATCGTGTCGAGCCGTATCCAGATGATAAAGGTCGACCAACTAAAGATATTTTAGAGTTTCCGTCACGAGAAGTTTACGTTCCTGCTACTACTTATAGGTTGGTATGCAATCACAGGATAGGTTAAAGTATTGAGGGGTTGGATGGCCGAATGGTTAGCACTTGCATGCTGTATCATACTGTCTGTCATTGAGTTCAACTGGCGTGGTTTTGATTCCCCGGTTGTACATGTCAAGGAGTAGGGTTTTCTCCAGGTCCTCTGGTTTCCTCCCACTGCTAAAGACCCCTACGCACAAGCGAATTATTGAAATAAAATTGAACCATATGTTAGTCCTGAAATGACCTAGTTTGTGTTGAGTGGACGTTAAACCACATTTCTCTCTCACTCTTTTAAACTATACTGATGTGATCCTGGTGATGGTCAAGTGATCCTCGGGAGGGGGGGGGGAATCCTGGAATTTGTCAAGCTATCCTGGGTTTGATCCTCGTGTAATCCTGGTTTTCCTCCTTTCATTGGGTGCAGGACAGTCTGGCCATCCCAAAAAAACAACCTCTAGTTGCCATGTAGACTATTGGCAGAAATCCAAAATAAAAGTAGACCATAGTGCTTGTGTCTTGGACAAAATTTACATCACTGCACACTCTGTATGGCATATGCCCGTCTTCATTAGCCCAGTCGGTGCAGAAAAGTAGGACATTAAACCCTGTTTCATTTCATTTCAATTTTCCTTAACTCAAGAAGCAAACAAATCAACCATAATTAATCAGATACAATGACCATTGGCCAGATACAATGACCATTGGCCAGATACAATGACCAGTGGCCAGATACAATGACCAGCAGTCAGATACAATGATCAGTGGCCAGATACAATGATCAGCAGCAGCAGTCAGATACAATGATCAGCAGCAGGAGTCAGATACAATGATCAGCAGGATTCGTTAAAATTAAGTTACAACATTGTAACTCCTGTGTTAACCATCGAACGATATTGACTGTTGTTTGTTGTAATTTGATTGGTTAGTTGATAAATTAAATATTTTGACAGGAATCTTCTGTATGTGTCTCCACGATATTTAAACTTTGCTAATCGTCAAGGATCAGCGAGAAATCTGGCTGTCAAGGTTCAGCTGATGAGTGGAGAGGAAGAGGCTCATGCCTTACCGGTAAGTATTTCAGTAATGGAGGGGATCACGGTGACTAAGTGGGTAAGAGGCTGGCTAGCTAGCCTGGAGGTCGGGTGTTCGATCCCTTCATTGGCCGACAAAGTTCATCCAGATTGGAGGGCCTGACAAGGACAGCTGTCTAGTCGTTCGGATGGGACGAAAAACCGAGGTCCTGTGTTCACATTGGCGTGCACGTAAAAGATCTCTTGGCAGTTGGAATTCGATATAAGAGTAGGTCGTAGTGCCTCTTCCCGGGCAAAATTTCCATCATAGCACACTGTATGGCGTATGCCCATCTTCATTTGCCCATTTCAGAGCAGAACAGTAGGACATTAAACCCCATTTCATTTCATTTCATTTAGTAATGGATGTCAAATAACTGTCAAAGTAAACAGGCGGAAAATTAATAATAGTCTATAAAATTTGTGAATTATAAAGGTCCTTTATCCTTAAGCTGCAGTTGAATTATAAAGGTATTTTATTGTTAAACTGCGGTGAAATTATAAAAAAATTTTATCATTAAACTGCGGTGGAATTATCAAATTATTTTATCATTAAACTGCGGTGAAATTATAAATAAATTTTAATATTTATAGGTTGTATTTGGAAAATCAAGTTGTCCTGAATTTGCTAGAGAATCATATACAGCTGTTACTTATCATAACAAGTAAGTTGTTTAATTACAAATGACAGTTGTTTAATTACAAACCATGATTGTTTAATTACAAACCATGATTGTTTAATTACAAACCATGATTGTTTAATTACAAACCACAGTTAAATTTCATAATTAGTTGTTTAATTACAAACCACAATTGTTTAATTACAAACCACAATTGTTTAATTACAAACCACAATTGTTTAATTACAAACCACAATTGTTTAATTACAAAACAAAATAGTTGTTAAATATGATAAATTGTTTAATTACAAACCACAGTTGTTACATATCATAAGAATTTGTTCAATTCCAAACTACAGTTGTTACATATCATAGTAAGTTGTTTAATTACAAACTACAGTTGTTTAATTACAAACCACAATTGTTTAATTACAAACCACAATTGTTTAATTATAAACCACAATTGTTTAATTACAAAACAAAATAGTTGTTAAATATGATAAATTGTTTAATTACAAACCACAGTTGTTACATATCATAAGAATTTGTTCAATTCCAAACTACAGTTGTTACATATCATAGTAAGTTGTTTAATTACAAACTACAGTTGTTACATATAATAAGTAAGTTGTTTAGCCGTGAATTTAGTGTACTTATAGGTTTAGTGAAAGTTAAGTCAAGTGAATACAGCTGGAACTATTGGAATATAGGAACCCATGGTGGCTCATTGAGTAAGGTGCTGGCTTGCTAACGAGCAGATCCCTTTTTATACACTCACATTATGTTTTTTTGTGTATTTGTATATTTTTCAGATCGCCTGATTTTTATGAAGAGATAAAGATGAAGTTACCTGGAAGATTAACAGAAGTTCATCATCTTTTGTTTACCTTTTATCATATTAGTTGTCAAGTGAAGAAAAACGAACCAACACCTGTCGAAGTACCTGTTGGTTATACGGTACGTTGTCTTGGTAACATTACTTGTTAGCACCCTGTCACAGGTTGTCTTGGTTCTGTGCCTTTATTGGCCACAAAATATTCTCTGGATATTCCACTTGTCACAGAGGGCCTGACAAGGACAGTGCCTAGTCATTCGGATTGGTCGAAAACCAAGGTCCTGTGTAGACATTTCCGTGTACATAAAGCAAACCTTGACAGTTGGAATTCGAAATAACAGTATTCCTTAGCGCCGCTCTTTGGGCAAAAATTTCTTTCACTGCACACTGGATGAGTGAAATTAGCCCAATCGGAGCAGAACAGTAGGACATTAAACCCAATTACATTTCTGTTCTGTTTATTACAGAGGGAATTAAGTGGTATAGGGAGCCACAGTGGCTAAGTCGGTAAGACACTGGCTCGCTAGTCAGGAGGTCGCATGTTCCATCCCTGCATTGGCCGAGGAAGTTCATCAGAATTTTCCAACATGGTTACCCCTTGTCAGTGATGCAGAATGCAGGGCCTGACAAGGAAATCTGTCTAGTCATTCGAATGGTACAAAAAACCTGAGATCTTTTGTGTACATTGGCGTGCACATTAAAGATCCCTTGGCAATTGAAATTCGACATAAGAGAAGGCAATAGTGCCGCTGCGCGTTTAAAATTTAACCTGTTAGCACACTGTAGGACGTTAAACCCCATACATTTGGTTAAGTCGTCTGGTGGTTTAATTTGTGAAATTAGAAGGTCTGTCATTGTGTCAAATGGTGTGGGTTCGATTCCCTGCTTGTCTGTGTAATTATATATAATGTAGTGTATATATTTTATTACAGTGGTTACCGTTAATGAGAGATGGTCAATTGGTTGTCGGTGAATTTACTTTACCTGTATCAATAGATAAGCCACCACCTCGATATTCTATGTTACACCCTGATGTAAGTTATTTATAGATATTCTATGTTACACCCTGATAGATATTCTATGTTACACCCTGATATAAGTTATTTATAGATATTCTATGTTACACCCTGATATAAGTTATTTATAGATATTCTATGTTACACCCTGATATAAGTTATTTATAGATATTCTATGTTACACCCTGATATAAGTTATTTATAGATATTCTATGTTACACCCTGATATAAGTTATTTATAGATATTCTATGTTACACCCTGATATAAGTTATTTATAGATATTCTATGTTACACCCTGATATAAGTTATTTATAGATATTCTATGTTACACCCTGATATAAGTTATTTATAGATATTCTATGTTACACCCTGATATAAGTTATTTATAGATATTCTATGTTACACCCTGATATAAGTTTTTTATAGGTCATCTAGATATTTTGTTAGTGCAGAAAAACCTGTGGACATATCACTTGGAAATTTTAAGTACAAAGTAATAATAGTACTGTCAAGTAAAGTTAACAAAATATCCTGCTGTGAATTCTTTGTATGGAGGCTTGTACCGCCCGAGGCACATAAATATGTGCACCCCAGAACCACTTTTATTACTCACAATCACAATATAAACGTAGGGAGCTGACGCACTAACCAGGTGATCTAGGATTCACAAACTGAAATTTGAACTGGTTTTCCGGAAGAAGAGAAAATGAGATTGTTGTGGTGTAAATAATGAGTATTGTTTTATTGTTTTAACAGGTTCAGTTGAATAATATGAAATGGGTTGATAGTCACAAAGGTGTATTTAATGTAACAGTTAATTCTGTTTCTACCATTCATCCTCAGGTAACAACTACTTTTACTTTATTATCATTCCTCTCATCATCCTTATATAACACATTATCCTTATCATCATCCTTATATAACACATTATCCTTATCATCATCCTTATATAACACATTATCCCTATCCCCATCATTATATAACACATTATCCCTCTCATCATCCTTGTATGACACATTATCTCTCTCACCATCATTATATAACACATTATCCTTATCATCATCCTTATATAACACATTATCCCTCTCATCATCCTTATATAACACATTATCCCTCTCATCATCCTTATATAACACATTATCTCTATCATCATCCTTATATAACACATTATGCATATCACCATCATTATATAACACATTATTCCTCTCATCATCCTTATATAACACATTATCCCTCTCATCATCCTTATATAACACATTATCCCTATCATCATCCTTATATTACACATTATCCTTATCATCATCCTTATATAACACATTATCCTTATCATCATCCTTATATAACACATTATCCCTATTATCATCCTTATATTACACATTATCCCTCTCACCATCCTTGTATAACACATTATCCCTATTAACAACATTAAATAACACTTTTGAAAATAAATCCATTTTGTCTTTTTCACAGGATGATTTCATCAGTAAGTTTTTAAACCTGTCTCACTCTGCTAACGAACAGAAGTTACCCCCAAGATTAACAGAAATAACTTTTGAGAACGAGCTGAAGAGGAGTGTAATGGATTTAATCAACGCTAAAGGCGATTGTTTGGTTCAGTTTCTACATTTAATATTAGATAAGTTATTATATCTGATGGTACGACCTCCGGTTATTGGCGGAAATCTCAGTAAGTTGGTATCTTATAGTTGACTGAAACATTCATCTCCATGGATCCGGGGAGGTGTTTAGGTGAGGGAACCACTGTGGATCCACGGAGGTGTTCAGGTGGGAGAAGCACCAAAGATCTGTTGGAGGGAACCACTGTGGATCCGGGGAGGTGTTCACTTTGGGGAACCACCGTGGATCCGGGGAGGTGTTCAGGTGGGGGAACCACCATCGCTCAATAACCAGGAGATTTGAGGTTCGATCATTATATTAGACGGGAGCTTTTATCTTCATGGGTGGGTCACCAGTTCTGTCACTGACGTAAGTGGCAAGGAGTATATACCTATAGATTATTGGTTACCTTGGGCCCCGAACATGTATTATTAGTATGTAGTCTCTTGAAGTCTCATCAGTGATCAAGACAAATAAAACGGATCGACATTTTATGGAGGTATCAAGTAGAGTCGCCTGTCCAACCTCTAGGGTTTTCTCTGGTTTCCTCCCACTGCTGAAGACCCTTGTTTACAAGCAAATTATTGGAATGAAATTAATCAAAATGAGCTGCTCTGTGTCGAGTGGATGTTAATCACCATTTCTCTCTCTTTGAAGTTATAGCACAGTTAATATAGATCAGTTAATATATATAGGTCAGTTAATATATATAGGTCAGTTAATATAGGTCAGTTAATATAGGTCAGTTAATATATATAGGTCAGTTAATATATATAGGTCAGACATGTTTTTATAGTTAATATAGGTCAGACATGTTTATAGTTATTATAGGTCAGACATGATTTTATAGTTAATATAGGTCAGACGTGTTTATAGTTATTATAGGTCAGACATGTTTTTAGTTAATATAGGTCACACTTGTTTATAGTTAATATAGGTCAGACATGTTTTTATAGTTAATATAGGTCAGACATGTTTATAGTTATTATAGGTCAGACATGTTTTTAGTTAATATAGGTCACACTTGTTTATAGTTAATATAGGTCAGACATGTTTTTATAGTTATTATAGGTCAGACATGTTTTTATGGTTAATATAGGTCAGACATGTTTTTATAGTTAATATAGGTCAAACATGTATTTATAGTTAATATATGTCAGACATGTTTTTATAGTTATTATAGGTCAGACATGTTTTTATAGTTAATATAGGTCAGACATGTTTTTATGGTTAATATAGGCCAGACATGTTTTATAGTTAATATAGGTCAGACATGTTTTTATGGTTAATATAGGTCAGAGATGTTTTTATAGTTAATATAGGTCAGACATGTTTTTTCTAGTTAATATAGGCCAGACATGTTTTATAGTTAATATAGGTCAGACATGTTTTTATAGTTAATATAGGTCAGACATGTTTTGAAGCTATAGCCCAGATTATCAAGAAGGTACATGTATTGTTAGAAGAAAAGAATGATATAAATGGTCGTAATTCACTGTTGGCTGTTTATATTAAATATGGCTGTACGATACCACATCCAGGTCTAGTACATCAAGGTATATATTATTTATTACATTTGCTCATGGGGAGGTGCGTGGCGAAATACGCCTTAGATCGGGGGGTTGGATGGCCAAATGGTAGCCAGTGCGCGCTGTATCATGAGGCCTGTCATTGAGTCAACTGGCGTGGTTTCGAATCCACGGTTGTACGTGACAAGGAGTAGGGTCGCCTGTCCAACCTCGTGGGTTTTCTCCGGGTCCTCCATTTTCCTCCCACTGCTAAAGAGCCCTACGCGCATGCAAATTATTGAAATAAAATTAAACCATGTTAATCCCGAAATTACCTAGTCTGTGGCGAGTGGAGGTTAAACCACATTTATCTCTCTCACTCTCTCTCTCACGCCTTAGATCATCATAAGGTCTGTCATTGAGTCAAGTGGTCAAATGAGTTTACTTTAGATCATGAGGTCTGTCATTCCCACACTTGTACGTGACAAAGCATAGGGTCGCCTGCCTAATCTCGTGGGTTTTATTCAGGTCCTTTGGTTTCATCCCACTCCCAAAGACCCCCTAGTGCAAGCAAATTTCTCTCTCATTAAAGTAGCCATATTATTATTAATTTATTAAAACCAACCATGTCCACTTTTTGTTAAAGTAGCAACTTAGACATCTGAGATATTGCTAACCAATAAGGATGACTTCAAGAAAATTAGCTGATTACTTCGATATATATTTAGACTTTTTAGTATATTTGCATTATGGTTTCTACTGTTTTTTCCTGTAGGTTCAGCACCATCATTAAGTCCTACGATGTCAGGTTACGCTACGTTAGGCCGACCATCATCTCTACCTGTCAGTAAACATGCATGTATGCGGAGCACGAGTAATCCAGATCTAGCGGGTAATACACCTACATCACCAGATGCTGAAGTAGCAGGATTTAACTGTAAGTTGATGCAAAGTCTAGAATAGGAGCCACAGTGGCTCAGTGAGTAAGACACTGACTTTCTGACCAGGAGCTCTCAGGTTTCAACCTAGTGATGGCAGAGAAGCATCCTCAGTGAGTAACACACTGGCTTGCTAACCAGGAGCTCTTGAGGTTCAACCCGGTGTTGGTAGAGAAAGTTCCTTGGCTTGTTTACCAGGAACTCTTGGGTTTGAACCTGGTGTTGACAAAGAAAGTTCCTCTGAATTTTCCAGCATGTTTTCCCCTTGTCAGTGGTGCAAGATGGTGGGTCTGGCAAGGGACGCTGTCTAGTCATTCAGGTGGTGGGTCACTGTTAAGCAAGGTCCTATGTACATGTTGGCATGCATGTAAAAGAACCCTTGACAGTTGGACTTTGAAATAAGAGTAGGTCATATGCGTATGCCCGTGTTCATTAGCCCAGTCGGTGCAGAAGAGTAGGATGTTAAACCTCAGTTTAGTTCATGGTAATATGATGTATTAAATACATTATATCTGTAGTTTGTGGTAATATTATGTATTAAATATATTATATTAGTAGTTTGTGGTAATATTATGTATTGAATATATTATATCTGTAGTTTGTGGTAATATGATGTATTGAATATATTATATTTGTAGTTTGTGGTAATATGATGTATTAAATATATTATATCTGTAGTTTGTGGTAATATTATGTATTGAATATATTATATTTGTAGTTCATGGTAATATGACATATTGAATATATTATATTTGTAGTTCGTGGTAATATGATATATTGAATATATTAGTAGTTTATGGTAATATGATGTATTAAATAGTTTGTGGTAATATGATATATTAAATACATTATATCTGTAGTTTGTGGTAATATTATGTATTGAATATATTATATTTGTAGTTCATGGTAATATGACATATTAAATATATTTGTAGTTCGTGGTAATATGATATATTGAATATATTAGTAGTTTATGGTAATATGATGTATTAAATAGTTTGTGGTAATATGATATATTGAATATATTATATTTGTAGTTCGTGGTAATATGATGTATTAAATATATTATATTTGTAGTTTGTGGTAATATGATATATTGAATATATTATATTTTTAGTTCGTGGTAATATGGATAGAGCTGGTAGTATGAGGGGCGATGACATTGTAATTGGTACCGTACCTAAAGTTAGAGGCAAAAAGGTGAGAAGTTTTTCATCCTGTAGCATTATTATATAGCTGCTTGAGCAATGTTTTGTTTAGAATTTCAAAACTGAATTATTTGTTTTTTAAAAAAGAACTTCCCAACAAATAGAAAGTAAAAAATTTATTTTAATAGGTGTTCCCAAAAAAGAGAAAATCGAATTGGTGTGACATTAACAGAAAAATGTTTGAATTTTCTTTTTGCAGTTAGTACATGAAGAATTGGCTCTACAATGGGTAGTTAGTAGTGGTACTACCAGAGATTTGGCGTTGACTAATTCCTGGTTCTTCTTTGAATTGATGGTAAATATTATTGTGATGTATGATAACAGTTGTAACCACGACTCTCCGTTAACTTGGTGAAATTAAATTGTACAGAATTGAATACATATGTCAGGATTTATCATGATACTCGAGTGACTACTTGTGCACACGTTACACTCACGTAGATCGATTCGCCAGTTGTACGTGACAAGGAGTAAGGTTGCCTGTCCAACCTCATGGGTTTTCTCCAGGTCCTCCGGTTTCCTTCCACTGCTAAAAACCCCTACGCGCAATCGAATTGTTGAAATAAAATTGAACCATGTGTTAGTCCCAAAATGACCTAGTTTGTGTCGGGTGGACATTAACTCTCTCTCTCTCTCTCTCTCTCTCTCTCTCTCTCTCTCTCTCACTCTTTCTCTCTCTCTCACACAGGTAGGAAGCCAGACTTAACTGGGTGATTAAGTACTCACGATAATTTTTAAATAATATTGTTTAAAATGAATGTGGTTTGTATTTTAGGTGAAAGGTATGGCCGAACATCTGGGTTATTTGGGTAAATTAACGGCACCACGTCAGATGAGATTCCCGGATCATTTTATAGATGATATTCATTCGTTAGTTAATATGTTGATACGGGATATTGTTGATAGACATATTAAGGTAGGTGTGTTCATATTACTCAGGTAGACAGTAGTCCCATATAACAACTTTTGGTCTTGGAAGGAATTATTAGTGAGCAGAAATTCGGCCGTGTATCTGTTATCACTCGTCACATCAGTCAGTTATATAGAGGTATGACTCATGTTTTCCTTTGCCGTTCGTCTCTTCCGATTCTGGAAACCTGTATTACTATTACTCAGCTATCGTAGCAATGATCTCTGTGTTAAAATTATGTTTGGAATGTGTTTAACCAGCTCTATCACATATGTGATAATGACTGGCACCAATTATGTCCTTTAATTGCGAGTTGTTTCCAAGAAAAATATACAATCTGTTTCTGTTTACAAGTCACGTAATAAGGACATCCTGGCATCTGTTAAACAGGCTTACATATTGATTAGAGGGTGTGGCATATCACCTGGTACTATGTTAATATCCCGGAACCACATCGTTTATTTAAAATTTAAACAGATATGTCTGACAGAACATTTACATATGTAAAGAATATGTACTCTACTCCGATAAAGCAAAGAATTAAAAAATGAATGTACCATTTTGTTCTATGGTCACAAAAACTAAATAAACAATTTCAATTTTATTAAAAATAAAAAAGGAAGCAGAGAAAAATGTTTCGTAATTCTAGAAGTTTACTAAATGTTTTTGACTAAAATCATCCATTTAGGAATATAAATGTCAGTTAAACAGCACAAAGATTAAATAAACAATTTCAATTTTATTGACTATAAAAATAGAAGAAGAATACATCTATAAATTCTCGAATTATACTAAATAAATTATCAATGTCGGTCAACTAGCTTTTTTTCTGTTCACGTAGCAAAGTGGGGGATCACGGTGTCTTAAGTGGGTAAGACGCTGGCTCGCTAGCCTGTAGGTCGCGTGTTCGATCCCTGCATTGGCTGAGAAAGTTCATACAGATTTTCCGACGTTGGTCTGACAAGGACAAAATGAAATGAAATGGAGTTTAACGTCCTACTTTTCTGCTCCTAACCTGGGCTAATGAAGACGGGCATACGCCATACAGTGTGCTATGAGGGAAATTTTGCCCGGACAGCGGCACTACGGCCTACTCTTATATCAAATTCCAGCTGCCAAGGGATGTTTTACGTGCATGCCAATGTGTACATGGGACCTCGGTTTTTCGTCCCATCTGAACGACTAGACAGCTTTCCTTGTCAGCCCCTCCGTCCTGCATCACTGACAAGGGAGAACCACGCCGGAAAATCTGGATGAA